TAATATACTACTGCGGTCTGTAAGAAGAGCTGGGTATGCTTCCAATAAAACGTCCAGGACTTTCAGTGAATCTTCCTGAATTCCTTCGCTGATGTGAGTCATGGCACTGGAGAGATGGGCACTTACCAAAGGAAAAAACGGAGCAATCTGCTCAGCTCTTATTTTTGAAGCCAAGAACTGAAGCAGGTGAACAGCCGCTCCCCTGACACCAGAATCTTTGTCTGTAAACACTGCTGCCACTTCACTAATTATATTTGAAAGGTGTGCATCAATTAGAAACGGATACTGAGACAGGAGATCTTTGAGCCCAAGGAGTGCATTGTGTTTAACCCCAGGACTATAATGGTGCATCTGCGAAAGTAAATCCTGGAAGAAAAGAAACATATTAGTTATCATTACTACTCTGAGCTTTTTACTTCCTTACCCACCTTCTAGTTCTTTTTTTCTTTTTTGTCAAACACTAAAAAATACAGAATCTGTTCTAATGCACTGCTGTGTGCAGAAGCATAGTACTTTCAAAACAAATACGCTATTGGTTTGTGGTGTAGCAATGAACAAATCAGCAATATTCAAAAACAGGAAAAACAAGATACCACAACCTGTTCTTCAGGTAACAAGATAACTTTCATACATAAGTAAACATACAACCCTACTAACTTAGTAGAGGTTTTGAAACCCTGCTCTTATTTTATAAGCTCAGACTTTCAAAAACAGCATTAATCCCTGATACTTAGAAGACGATGCAACTTCAACTTTCCATTGCTGAAAAGCCTAGCCTTGAGTTATATGCAGGCCCAGCAATTTAAGTCATTTAGTTCAAAGGTCAGTTTAGTTTTGTGTCTCATTGTTTTTTTTAAATACACCTTTTTTTTTTCTTAGACACTAGTAACTATAAGGACTCAGGCAAATGTCATTATCTGTCATTCAGAATATATCACCCACCACGTACCTTTATGTTAAGTTTTCTGTTCTGTGTAGTAAGCATTCCATCTTCTTTAAGCTGTTCAGGAATTTGTATGGCCTTTGTTTTGAAAGTGGTATCTGTTGCATTTTCTAGTTTAGGCTTTTTTTTCCCAACTTTTAATTTCACTTTCTGGAAGTCTTCTTGATGTTTCCTTTTTTTAGTCATCCTGATTCTCTGCAAAAAGACATTCAGAATTTCAATGTGATTAAACGCATTTTCCACCAAAGAGCAGCGAACTGCTGGTGAAAGCTACAGTTTTTACATATTTCCTCTGCATAAACTACTGCAGACCAGACGCTAGGCTGAACAGACCTAAAACCCCTTATCTTCAATTTGGCTGTCTTCACTTTGAGAACAGCTTTACTGAAAAAGATCACTTGAAGATCTTCATCTTCCACTGTTTTATCAGAATATGTTGGAGTTGTGGGTTTTTATTTTTTTTGTTTCTTTTAGAAGAGGTCCTGCCAGTGAAGCAGTTTTTTACACACTGGACACCTGTCAAGGCTAAAGAGCACAGTGGAATGTCTTATTTCATCTGTACATTGCTTAGCAACTTGATCACAACCAGCATACTCATCTGCACAGGTAAAATCATGGATCTCATCAAGCCTTTGCTGATAACACAGCACACAGGCCCAGGCAAACTTCCACTACACTCTCAAAAGTGCAGGCATTAAAGATTAACAATTAAAAGTAAAGGAGAAAAAAAAAACACAGACAGCTTAAAAAGCAGAGGGAGTGAAAAGATGCTGAAAAGCTAAGTCATATTTAATAAGGCATAAAAAATAAGATGGTAGGGACAGCTCTACTTAGATCACAGTCATACTGGACCCAACATGCAACAAGCAGAACAAATTAAAACCAACACTTTGGCTTCTGCCTGGCCTTCAATACATCTGTACAGATAAGAGCATGCTTAGTTCAGCCAGATCAAAGAAAACATGTTACACCACTGGCTCCTTATCGTGCTTCTCCGGCCACTTAAATACGTCCAAATTCAGTGCCACAGTACTCAACACCACACACAAATCACACTCTGATTTCCATTATTTAAGACCACGAATCCACAGTCCGATGAGCCCTACAAGTGGTCCTGGAGACTACAACTATTTAAAAAGGAGAAGGATGGGATAAGTAGAAAGTGGTTACGATGTTTAACATTTCACAACTTTCTAATAGCAAAAGATCATCTAGGCAGCTGGAAATCTGATTGCTTCCCGATCTCACTGCATGCAGCACTTATATCCAGCTTTAAAGGTTCGTGCTGTCAGGCCTATAAACCTGATTATTTTTCAATATAACAGAATCTCTCAAGCTACTCTGCAGGTAACTGGCTTTTGGACATTACTAATATTTGAACACCGTAAACATAAGGTTCAACATTTCAAGATTAATTTTATTGGAAAAAAAAGTATACACTCGTGACTAAACCTAGAATAAAGCGGACATGATCACCACTAACTCTAGGAAATAAAATTTCATAGCTGATTTTTCAATGGACTTCAGATTTGGTAGATCTGTGCTGCATTACATTGCTTCATATCCACATCACAGCTCTATGTAAGGCCATCTGAAGTTTTTGCACTAGTATTTGTCGACTGAAAAGATTTTTAAAAATCTCAAGTGGTATGTTCAGTTTTGAGCAAGAAAGACAGTGAGGCCCTGGAGCGTGTCCAGAGAAGAGCAACAAAGCTGTGAGGGCTCTGGAACACATTCTGGAGAACAGCAGGCCCAGGAGAGACCTTATCTCACTCTACTGCCTGAAAGGAGGTGATAATGAGGTAGGAGTCAGCCTCTTTTCTCAGGTAACAGAGATAGGAAAAGAGGTGATGGCCTCAAGTTGTGACAGGGGAGGTTCAGGTTGGATATTGGGGAGAATTTCTTCTCAGAAAGAGTGGGTGACGCTGCTAGGGAGGTGGTGGGGTCAACATCCATGGAGGTGTTCAGGAACCGTGTGGATGTGGCCCCGAGGGTCGTGGTCAGTGGGCATGCTGGGAGTGGGCTAATGGTTGGACTACATTATCTTAGTGTTTTCTTCCAACCTTAATGATTCTATGAATGCTTACTGCAATGCTTGCTTTAACAGAGACATTAAGGTCTCACCCCACATGACGAAGCATCTGCCTTCCACTTAACATTACCTTTATAAATGCAGGCATGCACACACTTGAACAAAATTAAGTTACTTTAAAGGAGAAAGCCTATAAAATATACTCTCTCCTTCTAGAAGGAAGCAGTAGTTTACCTTGTAACGCGAATATTAGAACAGCTAACTTATTAGAAACCTCAACACACCTATTTCCAGCTCTTCAGCGGGAGGCCAGATCAAGAAAAAAACGGTTACAAAACCAGAGCTGTGAGAGCACAGTAGCGGCGTAACAAGGCGCTCGGCACACCCGTGCACGCTGCAAGCACTGGCTGCAAGCATATCAGCGAGGCTCCAGGCCGGCAGGTCCCGGCGCCGCAGCCCCAGCTGTACCCTGCCGGTCCCCCTGCAGCAGCACCGAGCCGAGCGCACCCACCGCTTTCTACACGAACGCGAAGTACCGAGAGCCACGCGGCTCTCCCCACCTCGGCTCCGCCCGCTCGGGACGCCTCCAGGCGCTTCCCGGCCTCCCTCACGCCGCGATCCGCCGAACGCGGCCCCGCGCGGACCCCAGGATGCTGAGAGGGCCGGGCTCCCTCCCCGCCGCCCTCCTTCCTTCCCCGCCGCCGGTACCGTACCCGCCGCCCGACGCAGGCGGTGCCCGCCTAGGCAGCCGCTCGCTCCTCCCGGCGCATCTTCGGCCGCGCTGCGGCAGCGCACCGTGCCGTGAGGCGGGGCCGCCCTCCAGCCGGCCGTCGGTTCCGCGGGTAGCGCGGCCACGCACTCCTCGCGGCCACCGCTTTCCCGCGTAGGGAAGGGGGGCGGTTCACACAAAAGGCGGCCGCGGGAGCGGGGCGGGCAGGGCCGCGCCGCCTCCTTCCCTTCTTCCGTCCTCCTTCGCGGGCACGACAACGACGACGACACCGCCGGGCCCCACGCGCGCCGCCCCAGCCCCTCACTAACCACGCGGCAGCGGAGCCCCCTTCCGCCCCCGAGAGCCTGCCCGGAAACGGCCGCCCACGTGAGCGGCGGCGGACAGCGCGCGCGGCAACAGACAGCGCGCACTTCCTCTCAGGGGCGCCCCCTGCCGCCACGGAGGTCCACCCAACTCGCTTCTTCAAGCGAAAACGATTCATTTTTGGGTTATTGCTTTGTTGCGTGTGGTTCTTTGTAGTGTTAGCTTTCTTGCTATCACTAAGATCGGAAGCAATTGTTGTTTTTGTTTTTGTTTTTTGCGAAATAAGCATTTTATAGCACTTTTTTTTTTTTTTTTTTCTAAACAAGGGTTCATCTTCAGGAGTACACTCAGAAGTTTTTGCTTACACCAGCCCCATAAAGTTCTCAAAGACATTTTCAACTTTGCAGCGACACATAATTTCAAGCAGGAAATAGACTTATTTTGCAGTCAGCTGCAGAAATGGTCTTCAAGCAGTCTGCAGGTCCCTCTCTGCCTTCTTCTCTGACCACAGTAGTCAATCCCACCTCAATGCAACTCAATCAGGTCGCTGAAGTAATTACATTACACTGTCCCAATTTGATCCTACATCAGCTACAAGTAAAACAGCACTGAAAGCATTCAGCACGCAAATTCTCACTTAATTACCAGAATCTGAGCTCTCTTGGCTCAGACTTCAAATTTGTACTACATACTAGGATCGCTTTCACACCTTTCTAAGCTCAGCAACTCTAGCTTTTGAGTTGTATCTCATTCTGGCTTCCATCCTTCACTATTTACCATTTTGGGAAGCAAAGTCTTCACACAGTAATGGGGAGATGCTGGGTTATGAGTGTCTCTCTTACCTCCTGCCACTATGTACTCTGAATCTTTATAGGAAGTGCTAGAGGTCATTTAAAAACTTGTTCTATTATTTTTCATTCTACCTGCAGTGACAGAAGGTAGGTGTTAACAAGTATACTAAAAAGAATATTTTCAATGAAACATTAACAATATTGTGCTCCATGAGAATATTTTTAATTATGTTTCTAAAATGAACTTAGGTAGTAACATTTCCTCTCACAAAAAAAAAAAAAAAAAAAAAAAAAAAAAAAAAAAAAAAACCAGTATTTGCATTTACAAAGTAGAAAAATACTTAGAAGAGTAATTTCAGTGAAGGCAAGGCAGTCACTATTAGCATTTCAGGTTTCACATATAGTACCATACCCTCAGACATACTGTATGCATTATGTACATTGATACCTAGATCAAATTCACAAGATGGCCTGCTGCTTCAAAAGGGATAACCAATTCATTACTGAGAAAGACAGTCCTAGAAAAAACAGGAAGAAAAACAAGAGGAAACTAGCAATAGAATGAGACATTGGCTTTAAATTGTGCCAGGGTAGGTTGAGGTTGGATATTAGGCAACATTTATTCTCAGAAAGAGTGGTAATGCATCAGAACAGGTTGCCCACGGAGGTGGCGAAGTCACCATTCCTGGAGGTGTTCAAGAGAGGTCTACATGTGGCACTGAGTGTCATGGTTTAGTGGGCAGGGTGGGGATGGGTTGGTGGTTGGACTTCTTTTCCAACCTTAAATGATTCTATTCTATAAGAGCAGAACGTTTCCAGAACTATAACAGAGCTCATTATAACCTATACCTACTAAGCCTTCTGTTGCACAGTCAAAATTTTCCATTTCCTGTCAGTTCACCTGTGAATATCATTCTCTTTTCCAGTTTATACCTTCTAAGAGATGTTCTTCAATTTTGTTAAAGACAATTTCCCCAAAGCTCTCTGATGCCTCAGTACAATATGGTGAACTAGCATAAAGCTGAAAGAAAAATCAGTTCCCACTTGGTGTAATTTTTCTTGTGTCTCAGCGGTATTGTAACAATCAATGTATAACATCATATACAGTCAGTAACATTCCTTAAGTATCATTGATACAGTGCCTTTTTTTTTCCTTCTCTTTTAAACCACACAATTCTGGCACAAGTTAGATGTTATCCTTAAAAATAGGTTCTGGAATAGGTATACAGTTCTATTTTTGGAGTAGGTATACAGTTTTCTGTTAGTGTGAGAACATACCAAGCCATCACAAAACATAGGCAGACAGAACAAACAAAATAATCTAGCTCTTTTAGAGCCTGTATTTGCACCAGAAAAGAAAGCTTTAAAGGGAGATTAATTGTACAACTGAATGTGCTAGGTTAGACATTCTTTCCAAAAACATTTCCAGAAGAATACACTTAGTCATTTTTACATTTGCTATTTTGTCTTTGAGAAGTACTGGCACTCTGCAGCACATCATTCAAACCATTCTATATCAGTGTGCTACGGATTCAGAAGTCTTTCCATTTTCAGCATGTGCTTAATGGACCTGAGGAAAAAGAAATGCTTAAATCCAAGGAATTTCCCCTTAATTTTATTTCCAGTAGGAAGGATTTCACAGCAAGTGAAAAAAGAAGCTGTTCCAAAGATGGCCATTTACAATATCTCTTATCTATTATTTTAATTAATAGAACGTTTTACACTATGAAAACAAAATCATGAAGCTGCTATTATTGCAGATACTTTAGGAAATTATTTGTATTCCATGTAAATTCTAAGATGCTTTTACTGATCAAGCACATCTTCATCAAGTAGACATGAACACTGTCCCTTTTTATAGTGAAAACAAGAGCTACATTTCCACCTGTTTCTGATGAGAACATATTTAAAGGCATTCCAGAGATTTTTCATTATTACTTTAAAGCAGTAATTGTTTTGTGTTTTCTTTAACTGTCAATGAACTGTTTTCATTCCTAACTAACCATACACCTTAACTGCTGCTTTCTTTGTTACCTTATTTTTCATAGCATCTTGCATTCCAGGATGCGAAGATGTGAAAACACAAAGATGAGGACTCTCAATTTCATCCAGATGTCCAAAAACAGTAAGTTAACATTAAAAGGTTTGTTTGCAATCTGGCTCCACCATGCCTGTATCAGGCCAGCTTTTGACTGCAATGCTGAAGAATTTTAATTAGAAGCAATGAATGCTACTCAGGAAGCAAAACTGACCCACACAATTTAATTTTTTTAAATTCTTTCCCCCATACATAAGTCTGTAACCATCCAAAACATTTTTCTATCATCCTACAAAATTAATAGCAGCTAACATACAGAATCTCTGTCTATATACAGTAAAAAAAAAAACTATAACTATAGGTTAAAAAAAAAAAAAGCAAAAAAAACCCCTCACTTTAAAAGAACATGAATTGAAAGACAGTATAAGCCAGCTTTCACTTCATGCTTACAGTGGTAAAATAAGAGAAGACAAAAGATTCTTTCACTACCAAGTCAGCATTTCGTAAGTATAGTCTGGTTACATCTCTTGAAATATATCTGTGAATTTGCAAACAAGTCAACCTCTGCTGAGTTTGCTAACACTTCCAGTTAACTCCTCTCCAAAAGTTACCTATAATCCATGCACCTAACTCGGAATTGAACTGACAGCACTGTTTTGTTGTAGTTTTTAATCTTTATCGAAAAACAGGAGACCAATTCATAATCTTTACATGGGAGGATACCCCTAATTTCAATAGCCTTTCAGTATGGCCTTGCAGCCACAGGGGATAATTTGACTGTTTGCTGTAGGATGCATTTGTACTGCTGACTGCTGTAGTGGAAGAGAAGGTTATTAGTAGTCAACACAGATTCATGCTTGACCAATCTGGTACCTTTCTATGATGTAGATGGGCAGACGGGGGAGAGCAGTGGAGAGGAGCACTACAGAGGAGCTGGGTGTCCTGGTGGACAGCAAGCTGGCCATGAGCCAAGCAGTATGTCCTTGTGGTCAAGGAGGCCAATGGGATCCTGAGGTACATGAAAAAGAGTATGGTCAGCAAATCAAGGAAGGCTCTCCTTTCCATCTGCTCTGCCCTGGTGAGGCCACATCTGGAGTATTATACCCAGTTCTGGGTTCTCCAAGAAAGACAGGGAACTTCTGGAGAGAGTCCAGTGGAGAGACACAAAGGTGATAAGGACCGGGAGCATTTCCCTTATGGGAAAGGCTGAGAGACCTGGGACTGTTCAGCCTAGAGAAGAAAAAACTAAGGGGGACCTTAACAACACTTATAAATATCCAAAGGACAGGAGTCAAGTGAGTGGGGCCAGGCTCCTTTCAGTGGTGCCCAGAAACAGAACAAGGGGCAGTGGGCACAAACTGGAACACAGGGAATTCCAAACAAACATGAAGGTGACAGAACACTGGAGAGGTTGTGGAGTCTTTTTCTCTGGAGATATTCAAGACCCATCTGCATGACTTCCTGTGAAACCTATTGTAGGGAACTGCTTTAGTAGACTAGATGACCTCCAGATGTCCCTTCCAACCTCTACAATTCTGTGATTAACTCTTACAAAGAGCCTTAAGAAAAGATCAGACCGCTAATATGCAGTATGTAAAGATATTTAGGAAAGTAACGGCTACTCATTTAAAAACAGAGGCCAATGTGAAAGGAAACAACATTAAATTTAACTTTTCCATATAGAATAATAAGAATTTCAAAACCAAATTATTAATTAGAACATCATACAGTATTTGGATATAGCAAAATCAGCTACATTGAGTTCATATTAAGCAAAAGAATGATTTAAAACTTACAGAAAGTAAACAGTGCAATATTAACTCTGCTAACTACCATGTCAGTGTGTGCTGCCATTGCTTGGTCTTCTCAGAGTCCCACTTTCAGTCAGGATCTTCACAACATTTGGAATATCCATTCCTTTGTTAAAGGTAAAGCAAAAAAAAAAAAAAAAAAAGGAAAAAGAAACTAAATGTTTTGATAATACAATATTTAAAAGCACAAGTAATAGTAAAACATTTAGACTGATGACATGAGTTTGGAGCCCTTATTAAGTGAGAAATACACTGTTACTAACCAAAATGCACTACATAATTGCCTAGAAACTGTAAACCATATACCTATGAACAGCTGCACTGTTTCAGTTAAGGGTATGTCTATCCTCCTCAAGTCTGTTACTGACTTTCAAAGATAACAGAATCACAGAATGGTTTGGGCTGGAAGGGACCTTTAAGATCACCTAGTTCCAACCCCCTGCTATAGGCAGGGACACCCTCCCTCCAGACCAGCTTGCTCAAAGCCCCATCCAGCCTGGCCTTCACTGCTTGCAGGGAGGGGGCATCCACAGCCTCACTGGGCAACCTGTTCCAGTGCCTCATCACTCTCACAGTGATGAATTTCTTCCTAATATCTAATCTAAATCTACCCTCTTACAATTTAAAACTATTTCCCCTTGTCCTGTCACTGCCTCTACAGTTGTTACTTAGGAAGGCATTACCATAAGTGCTCTGTTTTATCACTGTACCAGTAAGACAATGGCCTCTCCAGAGTACAAGCAAGAAGTTTATATTGCTCTGATGAAAGTGATGGCCATTACTTCGGGGGAGGGAGGAAAGTAGCATAAGAAACACAGGGACAGCTCAAGTGGTAAGAACCACACAGTGATCAGTGGCACAAAACACTAAGGGAAGAATAAGAACAGGGCAAGTATGTCTGAAATCTGGTGGATTGTAAGAAAATTACATTCTCCCAGCCTCAGTCCTTCTTTAGAGCAGGCAATTTCCAAGTCTGCTATGACAGACTTTTCAGTATTGCTTGGTGGCTCTCACATTGTCTGACTCAGGTGACATTTTAATAACCACAGCATCCATAGATCATCCACCTACTGCATGAAGACCACGTTGAAATTGGGTTCTCTCTATACTCTAAGTTTAGGAATCTGTTATTTCCTATGTCTTTTGATCCATAATTGCTATTTCCACCCATGCATGATTTTAAAGATCACTTATAACTTCAGTAATCTCTTTTCCAGGTGAAAAGCAGTTCTAGTTTTCTATTGTTTCTTATTTAGAAAATGTTCCCATATCTTGCTGCCTTCTCTAAACCTTTGCAGCTCTACAGTCCTTGATATGATGTAAGGGAAATGGAACTGCATGTTCTATTCCAGATACATACAAAGCATGTGTATACACAACAACAAAATAATGACTCTCATCTTACTTTTCACTCTTTCCTTAATTCTTTATACTCAGTTTGTTCTTCTGATTAGTAAGTTGTTATTCCCACTCCCTAATGAGGAGTATTTTAACTTCTTCAGTCAATCAACACTTTAAATGCTTTGAATAATCACAAAATTTTGTCATCCAGATACTCATCCTTTTTCCAGGTCACTGAAACAGCAAAGAGATTAAGTACAGGACCACAGTTCTACTGGGACCTCCTCATTTGCTATCTGTTTATTTTTTAAAGAATGCAAACACTTCCTTCTTTTCCCATAGCCACTTAGTTCTGTTTGAAACCTCTGATCTATCAAAAATATCTATGAAAAGCTGCCTGGAATTCCAAACTGACTGTATGAACTGGATAATCTTATCTGACTCCTTTGCTGTCCCATTTCAAACATCTGCAGGAAGTCTATATGGACGAATTTTCTTCTTCATCTCTAACACCATCACTCTGAGTGGATCATTTATCCAGGTGCTCACTAAATTCCACCCTGCTTTTCTAAATAGTTTCTATTCACCTCTCCAACAGAAGGTGGTATTTTCAAAGACCTCCTAGATCCCTGTACTGCCTCTGCACAAAACAGAATTAACTTTCTCAGCAGCCCATGTGGTGCTGTGTTTTGGATTTGTAGCTAAAACAATGTTGATAATACGGCAGTGTAATTGCTCTTGCTAAAGACAGCTTTCACAAATGCCAAGGTTTTCCCATTTTTTCTCCTCTCACTATACTTCCACTGAGTAGGCTGAGGGTTGGCAAGAGATTGAGAATGGACACAACCAGGACAGCTTCCCCGACCTGGCCATAGTGATATCCCACACCATCCAACATCATGCTCAGCAATAAAAATGGGTGGAGATGAGCTGGGGGATGTTGCTCCTTTCCCCCACCCCCTTCTGTCACTTAAGAAACTGTCTCAAAATGCCTACATTGATTTACCAGTTATCACATAAATGAGATTCATTTTTTACCTAATAAAAGTATACTTGATTTTAGTTTACTATTTTTTACCCTGAGGATGTTACTGTGCATGAATGAAAAAACAATTAGAAAAAAAAGTCTGTGTTTAACATCTATGTGAAGGGGCAGCCTAAACTGGCTCCTGTAAAAATTAAAAGGGAAAAAGCCTGCCCAATATCTCAAAGTTCTTTGCCCTATATAATTATTAATGTTTCACAGAGCTAAAATTGTTATGTACATTCTCATACACGTTTGTGTCTTCAAGTATACATGAAATACCTCTGAAAGCTGGATTTGTAGCTGCTATTTTGTGTAGAGTAGCAGTAACTTCCTCAACATTCATATTTCTCACACTGTTCAAAAATTCAGCGGTGACGTTGTTCTCATATGCTGTGTCCAAAGAGCCAGTTGAAAAGTTTTGCAGTTCATCTTCCTCATTTATTGATAAGGACTTTTTAGCCGATCGGCTGCTTGAATTGTCTTAAAGAAAAAAAAAAAAAATACTGTTTTTCAGCTTGATTCTGAAGGCTCTTCATTACTGTTATCCAAATAGAGCTTTTCAAAACAAACATTTCCAGTCTAGCATAGCAGCATCATCATTAATAAGGCTTGCATTCAACTTCATTAATAACATTTTCACACAACCGAAGAGTCCGAAATGATTTCCATTTACAGCAAATCCTGAAGGAACATAGGTGGCCTATGGTGAAAGGTTGGTGAAAACTCCTTGTGTTATCACTTACAAAAAGCAACTAAGAGTTCAAATTCTTTCATGTTGCAAGTAATTGCAATTTTTATTATTAGCACTGTATTAACTGAGGTCTCAAAAGTTCAGCTTTACAGAAAACTGCCACTGTATAGAAAAAAAAATGATACAAAATAGATACACTAGTACTCTGGGCATTTTTATCTCCAAATTTAGGACAGTAATTCCAATCATACTATGTGAAAAGTAATAATTTCTTTATATTGAGAAGGAAATCCTCTCACAGAAATCCAAGATTTTTTTTTTTAAGGCTTACCAGAAGCACTGAAGTCAGGCAGTGGAAACATGCAAATATTAAACAAAACTTTCCATAACTTTGTTTATGCTACCATCTTGCTTGGACTAGACCAGCATTAAGCCTCTTCTCCACCAAAAACAGAAAAAGATGTGCCAAAAAGACCAAACAAAACAAAAGAGCTATACTTTGATAGCCTCTTTAGAAAGAGCTGCTTTTAGGAAAATAAGAACTGATCACACAATTAGAGTAAGATGAATGCTTATTAATAGGCTGCCTTTTCTATACGTCTGTAGAGTATGAAAAAAAAAAACCCAAAACTATTAATCTAAATTACTTGGCTTTATTCTGCTTTTAAGCTCTACTTTAAGAGAAGCAGAAAATAAAAGCAGTTTTCTGGAATTTAATCTTAACTAGTGTTCTAATATTTAGATTAAAGCAATTTAAGAGTGTTATGCTAACATTACCAGTATCAGAATCACTAATATCTGCCGAAGTCAGCTCAGATTGTTCTGTAGAACGTTCCAATGCTTCTTCTCCATTACATTCATTATCTAAGAGGTCCTACAAGTTTGAAAAAAGTTGTGTTCAGCACTTCATCAAAATAAAACCCTAAAATGACAAAATGCTACACTTTAGTGACCACAAAAACAGATGAGACATCACAAATTTGAAAAACAAAAAAGTTATTTGAAAATAACGTAGCTGGCATTGAACTTCTATGCACACATTTCTCATGGCATCTGTCTATATCTAAAAAACACTATGTATTGCCAATTGTTGCTTATGGAACCAATTCTCAGCCTGCTAGATTAAAAAAGCAAGTATTTTAAACTCCAAAGACAATAAATAAATAAATAAATAAATAAATAAATGTCTGTTGAAAGAAGTTCAGGAAATGGAAGTGTTTTCTAGGGTCAATTTATTTTATTTTTCTATAGCTATTGGGCTAGAAGTTACACTTCAAAACAATCAAGTTCTAACTGAAGTATCAGATTTTGCCCTCTTTACATATGAACATAAAAATCTTCTATGAAAGAACAGCAGGCATAAGATGAACGTAAATTTATTAAGGAAGTTAAAATGAGTAAATAATAGGAATTACAGGCATGAAATTCATCTTGGAGAAGTACTGCCTTTTTGAGGCAGCAAGAAAGTAGTAAAGATAGAATATCACAAGGAAAGAAACATTGCAATAGCATTCTGAACTAATTAAGGCTTTTGATGACAAAGCAAAACAACTGCCATACACTTTTTTTTTTTCCTGAATCATATCCTCTCTGATTCTCGACAACTTGTTTGGCTGATACTTATGTGGCATTTTCCTCTTAGTCTCTCCTTTCTAAATAAAAAAGTAGTTATACAGCTGGAGTACCAGGAGTAGCTGCTGTGGCAAAGGAAAATTTTGTTTGACTCTGAAATTCCATCAGAAAAGTCAAGAGGCAAAAAGGGCATGGTTTCCAATCACAGATATGTTCAATGGATTACCAACAAGAGGACAGTTCCTACCATCCCTCTTGGATGTCAGTGTGGAGTCTGAATGTTACAATTTCATGTAATACGAATGGAAGAAACATGGGATACAAATGATTACCACAACAAACTCAGAGAAGAATTCAAGACACTTTCATATTGCGCTTATTTAAAGACAAGTCAGTCAAAAGCAAGAACAGAACAGCAGGAGGGACTGGGTTTCTGATAATAGAGCAAGAAAGAGAACTCAAAAGGAACAGCCTAAGAGTAGGAGCAAACCAAAAATTGTATAAGGAAGAAAACTGATATCAGTAATGTTAGATTATACATTAGTGAATGAAATGCAGGGCAAGGCTGGGAAAGGAAATATAGAACAAGATTGTCAGGGAGGTCAGAAGAGATGAGAAAACCAATGGTTGGGATTAAAAAGGAGTGAATTAGAAGAAAAACTTAGATGCAAGGGAAAGCATGGGAAATATGGGCTAAAATGCATTTTGGCTTCTTCACAAAATATTAATTTTAAAAGCACCTTTGAAGACAAGCACTGAGACTACTCAACTGAAAACCTGCAAGTTTATCCTGTCATGACTTCAAAAATTCTTCAAGCATAAAACAGTCAAAATTTTCAATGCATCTGCCATGACAATTTTAACTATAAGTAAATTATCTGTAATAACAAAAATGCCTCATCAGATGAATCTATAGATTTGAAGAACCAAAACCTCATTACTTTTTTTGATGCAGCTTGCTGACGATATTCCACCAATGCATCTGTGAGAGTCTGTGTGACTTTTAGGATAAAAGCAGCATCATCTTCATTCAGTATCTCAAAACTTTGCTGGAAAAAAAAAAATAAATAAATCACAACTCAAAAATGTTTTCCTTCAAAAGATACAAGTATCAGAACATATAAACAAATCCTCAAAGAACCATTTCACTTTTATATTTCTATCCTCCTGTCAGGTATGGCTGTAGTTACAAGGTAAATAAACTTTCTATTTCCCAGAAACCACAGTGGGAGGGAAGAAATGGGAGACGGTCCTAACAGAAGACTGCAGCAGCTATCCAAGACAATCATTTGAAAAGAAATAACCCTAGAATGTTCCTCGAAAAACATGCAGGAAAATGCTTTCCCTTATGCAGGAAAACCCTTTCCAGGTTTTGATCTCTTCTTGAGCTATTTGCATTTAAGTGAATGTATACAATTTCCTCCCTGAGGCCACATAGATTTTTCCTCACTTAAAAACTATGCAGTAAGAATAATCACCGAAAAAACTGGGAATTATTGCATGATATTGTGGGAATCAAATGTTGTTTCTGCATTAGAATTGGATATTATTTTTATTTCATGATCTCTGCTATCATAGTTTTTTTTGGGGGAGTCCTTCTACTTAACTTGGGGAAGATCTGATAGTTTACATCACTTATCCTCTAGATGAACCTTCCCAGGAATACACACTCCATATAGGTGTATATATATATATATATGCTGTCATACACACTGCAAGAATATCCTGCACCAGATCAAACCAGAGAACTAGTCATGGCCTGCCCGAGGAAGCGCCTGAAGAGACATCGGAAGGCCTGGCATCATCCCCCAGTGCTCTTTGTTTAAGAAGACTTTAAAGAAAATCACCACATCAATACAAGGAGAGCACGGGACATCTTGGAAACAACAGGATGGCTGCTGACTGACACCAGATAACAAATAAATTAACAAGTAAATAGCAAATGTAAACCTTCTGATAAGATTGTGAACCTGGAGTACCCAGCCAGAAACAGGGAAGGGGGGAGAAAACAGGGTATCAAGGCTGTCATGTTGTGTCCATAGGCGCACTCCTGCTTGCGGGGATGGCCGCCATTGCAATCGCGAATAAAATCTGCTTTTATCAGAGATACCGTCCTGACAAAAATTATTTGGATATTTCCAACAACATGAAGAACAAGTCCAGAAGATCATTAGAGAAGATTAAAGCAAAAATCAATAGAAACAGATAATGCAGTCTGTGAAAACAGGACTGTAAATGCTAACACTGCACAGTTTGCAGTCGCAATCCCAACAATTCTCCCCCTGTTGTCAGAGGACAATCATGCTAAGAAAGAAGATGCACTACTAGAAAGGTACAATCTTTACAGTTTTGCTTTTAAAAGGGAAACGTGTATAGATATACAGACACACATAGGTACACACACTATAAATACTGCTTGAATTGTCATGCAGTAGTTGACTCACACTAACTACTGTTAAAGATACACATCAAGTTCTTCGTGATGCTTTTAACAAAATCACCATTTCCACCACTTACCGCTCCTGATACGAATGTGTAAACAACACATTTTTGACAACTCAGAACTCAGCTGTTCTGCCAACTATTTTACAACCTGAAGAAATGGAATTTATTTATTTTTATTTTCTAAGTAAAACCACATTTCATCCCTTGAAAACAGCTTCTTCCCTTTGCTCCTATCTCAAATATTTTAGTAGCGCTAATTACCAACCAACTACTAGATAAGATCTTGATATTGACTAATTGCTAATCAAAATGAGTAATTTTTGAGCACTCAGCAATTCTGTGAGTTTTTCAAAAATGACATTGCAAGCCTTAAGACGTAATGCTTACCAGGTAACTCAGCAGTTCTTCCTGACTAGTGAATTCTTCAGCAGCTGCTGCAGATGCTTGCTGTTTAACATAAACAACATCTATTAGGTGCACTATTTAGAACTGAAATAATAATTATTATGGTTATTCTAGATGCTTGCTCTAATTTAATTGTGTGTGCTTGTACAGAAAAATGTGCTTTCACAACAAAACCTGAAAAAATATTTTTAAAGTTTTGCATAGTAACTCATGGGTAATTTGTTGTTGATAATATTATTAATTAGAATAAGCAAAAGCAAACAACATTGCCATATATTAATTATTATCCCAACTATGTGTAAACTGGAACAATCCATTAATGAAAAAATATTCACCTCAACTTCCTCGTTTTCTTCTTGCAGTTGTATATTGGTCTCACATCTTTGGATAGAAAACATATGCTATTTCTTTTGTTATATTAAATAATACACACAAACACTCACATGCACACACAGATTCTCCACATGGTTGATCTATCGAGCAATTGATAATCAGTTTAAATTATTGACACACTACACTTTGAAAGATGTCTCTGAAAGGTTATCGTTCCCTTGCATACATTTCAGAGGGCCCAGATATCAATATAAAGATTAAATATATATATATATATATGTAGCATTTTATAGAAATACTGGACATACAAAGACTGATCTGGCTTAAATTTATTAACCCGTATTTGCATGGTTCTGCAATTACAGCCTTCCAAGATCATGATCTCCAAGGATACCCACTGGTGCCTGGTGAAACCTAGATGTGAATGTCTGAGATATTATTAGCTCTCTGTATGGGAACTTGAGTCACGGCCTGAGCCACTGATTGAGCACCTGGGGAAAGGACCCAGTCAGCCCTGGGAGCACAGGTGAAGGCAATTCAGCTGTGTGACTGGAAGGGATGGAGCCTGGCTGCACCTCTCTTAGACCTCACTTAAGGGCTGACTGCTGCTGGGGAAGGATCTCTTTCTGGAGATCTCCCCTTGGTGAAGCTTTCTTCTGTGAACCTGGGCTGTTGTAACATGGGGGAGCCCTGCCCTTCTTTTATAGCACCTCTCTATTGCACTGGTCCTTCCATCATCACACCTTTGATGTAATGCTTTTCCTGTGATATTGATCTGTCTGTTCCTTGCTACACTCCTTATTTCTGATGTTTTTACAAACTGACTTACTCTCCAGATTAAGAGCTACTACGGTCCTTTCAAAACCTGACAAACATGAAGATTCAAAAACATGGATTTGAATTTGTTAATTAATCCTTTTCCTTAATGTCTGCCCCACAGCAAGGCAAGAGTCCTACAGAAAGACATTTTTCCTTTTACTGTGTAACAATAAATAAGCAGAAGGTGCCAGCTCTTCATGGCTGATAGATATGCAACCAGTTTAAAGTTAGGCAACAGAGGATTTTTAAATCACGAGGGGAATGTTCTTTAATTTGTAAAACAAAGTTTGTGTATTAAGAATAACACCGTTAAAAAGTAATCACGTCTAGAGGAAATATGGGGTAAATTTACATATTTTCAATTGAGAAGTGAAGCTTACAGCCATGCATACACTTTCAGAAGACGTGCATTCTACTACATTAGCATCCACTCATTCTTCTCAGTACACTCCATGCAAATCCACTGTAGACAGTCATCATCTAGAGCATTTCCCTTCGAGTAATTTAAGGAGTTCAGGATTTATCTGATTTTGTTTTACTTTTCAGAACTGCTGCCTTCTTCGGTGAGGTTGCCTTTAGTGCTTTCAACAGCCGTGTTAGTTCCAGCCTTCTCATCTGGTATTGCCTGTTCTTTCTGACAGTGTTCTTGCTCCTCTTGAGCATTCTTTTCTTCTAAAGGCAATAAAAACCTGTATAGTAACAGTCTTCCAAAATTCTAACTTAAATATTCCTTGCTTGGATTTTTTTTTTTAAAGCAATATTAATGAAATCTGAAGGTATAAATAATCTAAAGAAATAAAATCAAAACCAGAACCTAAATATCAAATACTTGTGCTTCGTGGCTGAACCAAGTCTATAATTCTGACCAGAAATATTCAGAATGAAAATAAATAAAATGCATTTAGATGGTAGCCCACTTCCCCCTCTGACATTAAGTTTACGACAAGCAGTATCTTCTGACATGGCAGGACTTCTTCCATTACATGGCATTCACTAATTTTAACACTTAATTCTGTTGTTTTCAAGAAAACATGTATTAGTCAGACATTTTACATGATCAAATATATACATATCTATTTTACTTTCTTTTTATTCTTCTTGTGCCCTAAACAGTCTGGCCTGCAGCTTGTCCCAGTTTTTTTGGTTTTTTTAATCCCGACACTCAAGAATGTTCAGTATGTTCAAAAAAGAACCTGGGCCCCTTGTTCCAAAAATAAAGGAAAAACAGTTAAAAGTTCTGCTTATGAATTCTGTTTCTGTTCTAACATAACCAGCTACAGCAATTTTAAGTAAACCTGGACAGTTTTCTTCACTAGGATTATTCTTTCTGCCTGCCAGACCTCAAACCCCACACGCTGTGTAAATACAACATCTACAGCAGAGCATTGCTATTAAAACCATAAACAAGTACATACTGAGTAAATTCATGCAGTGGTACAAGTTTAAAAAACAAAACCACTGTTCTCTGACCTTGAATCGGATCTGGCAATTTTCCATCCTTATTTTTACAGTCCATTCCTTCTTCATTACTAAGTGATGTATCCACATGCTGAACTTTAGCTTTTGATGGGCTATCATCTGCATTAGGATCTAAACAAACATGCTTGAAATGTAGCAAGACGGAGTTGATATAAGTTAAAAGAAAATTATTTATAGTAGTTCTGAAAGTTCACCTGAACTGTAACCAGCACTATTTCTGTGTATTACTAGCTATAAATACAAATAAGTTTGTATGCATTATTATGTGAAAACATGTAAGATACTAACTAAAAGCTTTAACTATTTTATACCCAGGCTATAACTACACACAGATCTCTTTCTTAAAAGAACTAAATACTATAAAACATAGTAGAATTCTATACCAGGTGCAAAATTAGACTCATTAACTGAAAGGATTCTGAGTAGGATTTAACTTATTTCAAAGCTCCTATCTAGATTTGAAATGGATAACTTTCCTCTTTAGAGCATGACACTGCTAATTGAGATTATGATAGAAATAATCTCCACATTACTTCCATATTTTATGATACAGTTTACATATTAATATGCATTAAGATTAGTACATTAGTTTTAATCCAAGTCTCCAAGCAAGTCCAAAAAACCAGAGTTGTGTAACAATTCTTATCCATTTCCTTCAACAGCACACAACTCCACTGTCTGTCCGCCCTTGTTGTGGACAGTTGTGGAATACTAAACTGAGTGGAGAAGTCTCACAGACACCATGTTCCTACAGCTTCCTGAGCACCAATGGCTGGTAGGACTGAAGGCTTTCTTCCACAGGTAAGAGACTTACTTACACCTGGCTTTTTGGACTGCTTGGTAAATGTACACATTGAGCGCCAGCCTACTCCTTTGCCTAGTTCCCCAAAAAGCCTGTAAGTAGCTACTACAATTGTTACCAGGTAAAAATATATATCTGTTTCTGCAAAATGAGGAAGACTTTTTAGTTTTTTGGATGAGGGGGACAATGGAAAGAAGGAGAGAGAATGCTGACATAAATAACAGGTCTCTCTAGTGGCTCATGGAGCAAAAAAAAAGCTGTTCATCTAACAAATTTTCAGTATAATACACCTTACAAAACACAGCTAACAACATTTCACATAAGCTCATTCTGACCAAACCTTTTGACCTGCCCTGAAATAAAGCTGTTTCAGAACAAGTTTACCCAAGTCAGAAATGTATGGGTTACATCCCAGTGAACACACTTACATTCTTGACATCTTTTCCTGATTACTGGAGCTTCTATAACAACCTAAAAATACAAATAATTATTTCAAATTATAAATTAAAATAATATCTATTTTAATATCTATTATAAATTAAAATAATATCTATTTTAATATCTATTTTAATATCTATTATAAATAATACTAGTAAAATAGTATTATAATTATTACAAATAAGACCCAGTTATGTTGGATATTTTGCAGATGAAATCATATGTATTGCATTAAATAGTTACTGTGTATTGGTTTGATCAGTAACATTAAACACAACAGTGTAAAACAATGAGTAGACATTCAAATAAAATATAAAATAGCTGGATTATGAAAGATCAAATCAAATAAAAATATCAAATACCAAATTAATAACAGGTTATGCACTCTATACTTCAAACTTCCTTAAACCAATGATGAACTTGTTATGGATGCAATTCAACTGTTCTGTTTTTAATGTGGGTTTTTTTTTTTTCAGAGACAATCTACAGCATATCTGTATTATATATAATTCTATATCCATCAAGAAAAATCTGAAAATAAACATATACATGTATATTATTTCCACAATCATGCCGGAGAAGTATTAATCACATTATGTCGGTTTGCTTGCAAACAATAATATCCTGCGTGCAAACAAATTCCATATGTAAGAATCTACAACTTTGCCAGAAGCCAGACCTTGCATAATTTAACAAGATTTTGGTCCTGTACAAAGACAATACTTATTAGCATTATTAGCTCTTGCCAAGAAGCACTGCTTAACAAGGATGCTGTTGACTGACACTGAAACCAGTACGAATTTAAGGCATAGCATAAAGACTGATAAGCATCTGAATCAAGTTTTTTTAAAACTTTATTGTGGTATAAACAACAACTGAAAGCAATATGAAGACATCTTCATAAGAACATGATTCTAACAGGACTGCCTCACAACAGTTTACACTCATGGTGCTCCTACGAGCACCATGCCTTTGCTGAGAACCTCAAACCCACCTGCAAACTTCCACTCCTTACTCACTTTTTAAAATCTGATTCTTTTGTCAACTGCCACAGGATGCTAACAAAGCAGAAACTCATTTGTGAAAATATAAAAAAGCAGTTTCCCAGCAACAATGAAACAAGTTATTTTGCACATGCAATTGGGAATTGATTACATATCAATATAAATATAGATATTCTGGATGTTGTGCTCCACACAGCTGTGTTTCTGTAGGCTCAGGTAGCTCAAATATTCTTTCAAACAAGAGAAATACTTATGATAAGAATGACCAGTAGAAAATTGCATCCAGGATACTCTCAAAAGTAATATTAAGAAGATAAAAGTGCTTCTAATAAATGTTAAAAGGAATTTTAAAAAGTTTTCCTACCATGCCAAGCATATCCACCCACTATAAAAGAAATAATTTTCAGTTTATTTATTTTTGTATACATTCTGGAATTTCTTAAAGAAATGTACCTTTAATTGTTTTCTTCCTTCCTTCTTCTCAATTGTTAATGCAACTTGCCTAACTTTTCTGTTCAGTTCAGAGCCTTTACCCTTAACTTCATCAGATTCTGCTATCTCAGGATAGTGTTGTTTCTAGATAAATAAGGAAATGGAAATCATGACGTCACACTTTATCCCATGCAACTTTTTCAAGCTTTGCAACAGCTAATGCTCATGGGAGAAAAATCTATTTGTGTGCATACAAAACAGAAAGTATTAAAATGTTTAAGTACATAATTGCAGAAAAACTGGGAGGACCAAAGCCAAATCTTCTGCTCAAAGCAGGCTCAACACTCAAATCTGAACTGGTTGCACAGAGCTTTGTCCATTTGCTCTTGAAAAGCACTGGAGACAGAGATTCCATGATTTTTCTGGTCTGTCTGCTCTGATATGTTTGACTGTCCTTGTAGTGAAAATCTTATGTCAGGCAGGAAATTTCCCTGCTTGAATTCACATTCCTGCCACACATCTCCACAAAGGGCTTGATTCTGTCTTATTAACAACCTCCTATGAGGTACTGAAGGACCAGATTCTCCTGTAGCTTTTTTTTCTCCAATCAGAACAAATCCAACTACCTCATCTTCTCCTCAAAGGAGGAGTGCTTCTCATCTTGGCAGCCCTCCACTTGCTCAACCTCATCAGTAACTTTCTTGTCTGCAGGAGCACAAACTGTATTCTAGATACGCCCTAAGAGATAACAAGAAATAATCACTTCCCTTCATCTACTGGCTGTGCCCTTGTTAGCAACACTGAGTTCACTGTTAACATCCATTGATGCCAAGGTACACTACTAAGTCATCTACAGATGGCCAAGGCCACAAGGACCTCTAATTCTTATTCAGAACTAGCCTGTCCCACTAAGGCTAATCCAGCCCAGGTACGAATTAAATATTATCTTTGCTGAAGCATTACTACTATGTTTTATAGTGTTTAAGAATATAACATAGATGCAGTAAGCTTCAGAACTGAAGGAAAACAGTTCAAAGCTAACAAGAAATACAAGAGCTAATTGCATGAAAACCATCAATACAAGTCTCACTGAGCATATCCAGCTGAGTTAATGAACAAGACCAGCATGATGTATAAGAAGATCATCATTGCAGAACCAGTGCAATATGTCTCATAACATTAGCTTCTGAAAGATGGAACAATTTTTTCATTGGTCCAGTTCTTTAAAATACATTTTAATATTTATAATATTAAATTAAATATTATTATATTTATAAATTTATCATATTAAATTAAATCACACTAAATTAAATATTATTAATTAAAAATCTACTTGTAGTCAATTACAGTGATGGATCTTGTTATTGGTGTTGCTGGCCAAACAAAGTAAAATGAGCTGACAATTCAGTGTCAGCAACTCCCAGGCATATATATTGTTGATGAGCTGAATTCCAAATCAATTTTTTAGAACATAAACTAATTTGCATGCTTACAGCATAAATACATAAAAGCTTTTATAAGAAAATAACAGCCTAAAAACATGTTTTTTTAATTAAAAGATACAATTTCCAATTTCTCTAGTTAAACAAAACAAAATCTACAACAACAAAACAAAAGTATTTTAAAGTAAAATCTTACCAGGTACGCCAGTCTGTGCTTGGAGCCACAAACATGCATGAACATGTTGCTCAGTCCTGTTTTACAGTGGCACAGTTGACACTCATAGAGAAAAGGAAAATTATCTTTTGATCGATATTCAATTATATAATTAAGTCCTGCATTGATTTATTAGAAAAAAAAAAAAAAGAAAGAAAGTTTGGAATTGTGATGTTTTTTGAAACAATGTGTTCCATATTTTGGACCTTAAGAAGCAAATAATCAGTGCTAGCTACAAAAGAATACTAAAGGAAACTGTCAATACTGCATGTCAAACACATGAATTTAGATTTTCAAAGCTACAAGTTATTCTATCTTCTGGCTGTCTTATCTTCTAGACTTTTTCAACAACAAAGACAGAAAATGTCTTTATCAAGATGCCTTATGTCTACCACACAGAACTTGACACAATGAAAAAAAAAAAATTAATAGAAACATTAAAAAAAAAAGGACTCAGAAAGGAATCTATTTCTCTGTACATTTTAATATATGCCCCTGTAGTTATTTTTCCTGTCCATTCCATTCTCCCCTTCCTCCTCAGGACGAGCCACTACATCAGAAAAAAAACAGAAAGAAACTGACTTAAATGAGTTTTACTATCATACCACCTTAGGTTTTTTCTAGACCACAAAAACATTCCATGTTAAATCCAGTAATGCAATAATGCTGTCACTAAGATGAGTCCCTGTCATACCATACCACTTTGCATCAATGTACACTCAGAAAAACTAGATAATGTATAATAAAGGCTTACATTTAAAAAAAGAGCCCAATATTCTTCAAAGATAAACATCATACAAGCAAGCAATTACACTATTGAAAACTCTCACCAAGTGCAGGTTCTGAATCTTTACATGTATTAAGCTGTTCTTCCAAGGTCTGTCCATGATACCTTTCTGGCTTAGCTTGCACTGTAAGATAAAATTGCTTTCATGTAATCTCACATTACAAACTCACCAGTCAGTCTTCATAGTCTCAAGTCAGGTCACAAAACTCCAAAATGAAATGAGGTCCTCACTCCAACCTCTGGCCCAGACAACACCTGCTAAGTAATTCACACATAAATGAATCCCTGCTTATAATGGGCCCTACATCACAAATCAAGTCAGCTATCAAGTAACATAACCCTAAAGTCCTATTTGCACTTTCTATAATATCGAGCTTGCAAGTATTGTTCTAAGTGTTATCATAAAATGCACTGCAGATCAGAAATAGAATTGATAGAAATGAACTCCAAATGACCTTCTGTGGTTCAGACAGCTGCACCTCAAAACATTTTCTTTTGCCTATTTCTTTTTTTTGTTTTTTTGGCGGGGGATGGTGGTAGGTATAGAAGGGCATTAAGCATTCTTACCGTAACCAGGAAGTTTCAGAGGTGCTTTCACTCGGTCCCCTGTACCACTTGCAGTTTTAACTAAAACACAAACCAAAACTAAACTAAAAAACCCACAAGTGAAAATTACAATGTGATGTTTTTAGCAAAAAAAAAAAAAGAAAAAAGAAAAAAAAGACAATACAGATTTATACCAAACAACAGCACGTGTCTTTATTAACACAATGAAGCAGGCAGAGGAAGACCATCTCAATCATTAGCTATCTCACAGCACAGGGATAAGCACATACCAGAAAATTAAATTCTTAGAGAGTGGCTTGAATTGTAAGTAATTTTGGCTGTAATTTAATTTACATAGAAGGCAATCTGCAACAAGGGAAAAGTCCGACTGATTCTCTGCAATGCAAATATCTCTTATTTTATAATTAACAAGCTTCAAGTCAAATTTCACGTCTTCTTAATCTAATACATCACAGCTGTTCGGTTTAAGTCCACTGAACTTGAGACAATTAAACCTCTTGCCTCCCAGAGTACTTGATTCAGCCCATAGCCATCCTACCTTTTTTAAAAGCTCTGCATCTATCTCCTCCCCAGCCAGATATTTTTTCCGTCTGCATATGGCACCTGATAGGAGCTGCAGAACCTTAGGAAAACTACAATAAAGCAACAAACTCATAATATGAGTTGTGCACTGTACAAAGCTGTAAATATATTTTGGTGCATCACAGAGTAGCAGAACATCTATAGCTAGGCCCTCGTTCCTAGTGGAACTAGACCAGCACATAAAAAACTGGAAAAGCTTTAATGATAAATTAAACCTATTAAAGTCCTTTGCTTCAGCTAATTATTAAGATCATAAAATCATAGAATGGTTTGGTTTGGAAGGGACCATTAAGATCACCCAGTTCAAACTCCCTGCTATAGGCAGGGACACCTCCCTTTCGACCAGGCTGCTCAGAGCCGCATCCAATGCTTCCAGGGGAGGAGGCATCCACAACCTCCCCAGGCAACCTGTTTCAGTGTCTCACCACCCTCACAGTAAAGAACTTCATCCTGATATCTAGTTTAAATCTGCCCTCTTCCAGCTCAAAATAATTTCCCCTTGTCCAGTCACTACCTGCCTTATAAGAAGTCTGTCCCCAGCTTTCCTGTATGCCTTTACAGGTACTGGCAGGCTACTATAAGCTCCCCCTGGAGCCTTCTCTTCTTTAGGCTGAAGAGCCCCATCTCCCCCAGCCTGTCCTTGTAGGATAGGTGCTCCATGCCTTTTCATCATCTTCATGGCCCTCTGGACCTGCTCCATGTCCTTTTAGCATTGGGGGCCCAGAACTGGACACAGCAATGAGGGGTTAATAAGCTCTTTTATAAACCAAATAAAAAGTGTGTGTTGAGCAGGTACATGGTTTGGGAAGCATGATTTTTTCAAATGTATTCTAAATCTTGAAGATCTCAAATTCTCTGATGTTTCTCAAAAATTAATGGAGGGGACCGTCAGTACTGCAGCCAATTAATCTTAATAAACTTATTTCGTATTATTATTTATTTTTTCCTGTAGGATAATACAGTTAAATCACTAAAGAACACAAGATAGGTCTCAAAGCACAAATCTCGAGAAAGGCTTTTTTTCCTTTTTGTTCCTCTGAATTGAGACAGGCTGAAAGGAACATCTATAAATAAAATAGGAAGTAAAAAAATCTTGCACTTACCAATGCCATGAGCCTTCAGGGCTTCTTCAACCTAAGCCATCAACCACCAATGAAGGAAAAAGTCACTCGTGATTCAAAAAATAGCAATGTTGAAGTTTCATTGTTAATAAAAGAAGTTAGATTAACACTAATCCTCTAGATTACCTCAAGAAAATTATGTTATACTCAAAAAAAGATAACTAGGCAAAAATAAGTACATTATTTAAATATTTCCATTCTGGACTTATTAACAGTCCTATATTCTCCAACATTCTGATGTTTTCTGTTTACTAATCCACAATACAAGGCACAAATTTTTATACACCTTTTCTGATATTATTAATGTACAAAAAAAAAAAAAAAAAGAAAGATTTCAAAGCCGTATTCTACTGTCAAGTAAATCTAGAAAATCTGACAGAAGGTGCAGTGAAGAACTGGCCTTACCTTCTTGTGCTTGAATCCAAGGAAGTGAGTCTGCAAGTTTAATGCGGAAGCACACCAGATTTTGCAAATCTAGGTTAAAGAGCAGAAGTATTTCTAGCACTGCACATAAGCCAGCAGAAAAAAAAAAAATAATGCTTTAGAACAAAAACACAAGTTCAAGGCTCTTAAATTGTCAGAAACTTTCAATCCATCTGCGGCATCTACAACTTCCTAACACTTAGCTCCTGACATGCCTATGACTCTTCATATTCCTGCTCCCTGAATCCTTTTAAAAGGATAGTTCTGTGTTCCTGATCTTCACTGAGCTGGCAAAAAAGTGACACAAGAGTAAACCAAAGTTGACTGCTTTATTGTAGAAAATCACCAGGTTTGCTGGGTCACACTACAGGGCGACTGTAAATGAGCAAAGAATTGAGTTGGGCTTGAGGAAAGGCAGGAGCCAAAGCACCTGAGAGATGTGGGTATGTGGCTTAACACTCAAAGTCTGGTGAGCACAGCGACAGGGTGAGGCCTGGGGTGAAACCAGAAGAGCAACCACACCTCTATATCAATCACTCCTACATTTCTTTAATTAACAACACAATAAGATTAATTAGTGTCCTTCAGCATAGGATATGTGACCCAGTCCTAACTCCTAGCATAAATCTAGTCCCTTTGGCAACAGTTTGTTGAGATGAGATGCTCTGTTTTCTTGAGCGGAATGATGAGTCCGACTGTGGAATATGGCCCAGACAGAGCCTGCTGAAGAAGGGGAGAGGTTGTGCAGGACTGGAGAATAGGTCAGGGTGTAGGTCCTGTAGCTGCCCTCTGATTGATAACAAGAACTGTCCCTTGCCATGCAGGTTGGATAAGGCTGTAAGCTACACCTCTGTTACACCATTCCCTCCAACTGCCTCCATTTACCTTATCTATGCCTAACCACGTACAGCCCGGTACTCAAGTCAAGGGCCTGAGTTATGACCAGAAGTTATCAAGGAAAAGTAAAGTGCCACCTCTGGCAAAAACATGGCAACCATAAAACCCTGCGATAATTAACCTAGGAACAATCCTTCACATTTTAGGGAACTGAAAACGGGGTATTAAGGAACCAATGGAAATTGAACCAAAGGAAGAATGGAAGTTCTCCGCTTTTCAGCAAAGTCAACCCCTGCTTATATCTCATGTATGCAACAGCTTCCTCAGAATTTGATAAATTGCTTTGGTGCACTTGATCCGTGTCAGTGAAGTGCACCATAGTCACTGTCTTTTTGCTGGGTACAACAAACCAGAGATTGGGGTGGGAAACTCACTCATTCTTCTTTCCCCATTGGCAGGCACATCTCTTTTAGCAAGGACTTGCACTTCTGTTACTTTGCAGATGATACCCAGGTGAATTGTTAATACAGCTTAATTAACATCTAGCCTTAAGATATTTAGCATGAATGCAGCTAGTGTATTTATCAACAGCACTACTGAATCTGCTTAATACATTGCCTATATAAACTATCAACCACTCAACTTTGCAAATCTGTTTCAGTAAAAACCCCTGAGAGGTTTTAACAGGCCTTTGCTGTTTACTGACTCTGGTCAGGGCAGTACATGATCCTTTGGACAAAACTGATTGACCAAGTCTGGGATTAAGATTGGGCCTAGCTGCATCCAGACTCCTCTCAGAGAAGGAACTTAAAAAGCAAAGGGGGACCTTTGTGAGACTTGTGATGCAACAGAAGAGCTTCCCCAACTAACCAAGCATCATATATTTGTTTATATACCTGTCCTCTTAAGCACAGAGATCTATTTTGGAAAGGCAACTCCTATTACAACTCCTTGAACATCATTAATAGCAATAAGCGATTTTAAACTAAGAAATGATGCTTGCGTTAACATGTTCTGTATTTGTAGAACACGTAGCAGCAAGACCTCACAGTTATTGTTACTTGAGATTCTGAATTTCATAGCAGTCTCTGAAAATATTAACTGTTCAAGTTTGGAAAAATAGTGCAACCTTTAAACTTGTAAGCTTGTAAGGATCACATAAAGTGAACAATATGGAAAACACACAGAAAATGCAAGAACATTAAAAAATGCTACTCAGGAAATCTGATGTGGGTTACAAATGGAAATACTTCATAACTGAGTAGAAGAGAGGCAAACCAGCAACCTAGCACTGCCAGAAGCCAGAGTGAACACAGCTATTGTTTTCACTGGTATTTGCAAGGAGTAGAGCTGGCACGGGAATTGAAAATCCCTTGTCTGATTTGAATTCAAACCAACAAACCTCAGCAAGTTTTTTCAAGATACTAAGAAATGGCAAATACATTTGTAACGAGGAAAGATAACAGCAAGATAACCTGCATCACCAAGCTTTAGCTAGAAGCTAAAGACACTTTAGTCTCTCATTTACTGCCCGACCCCATGTACTACATGCACTCCTAGCAGGACATCTTTACAGAATCACAGAATATCCCCAGATGGAAGGGACGTGTAAGGATCATTGCGTCCATCTCCTGGCTCCACACAGGAACAGATTAGGTTGTAGATGCCCCATCCCTGGAGGTGTTCAAGCCAGGTTGGATGGGGCACTGGGCAGCCTGGTCAAGTATTAAATGGGGAGGTTGGTGGCCCTGTCTGTGGCAGGGGGGTTGGAGATTCATGATTCTTGAGGTCCCTTCCAACCATGGCCATTCTGTGATTCTGTGAACACTCAAATCTCAAGCCTTATGTCTGAGAGTGATGTCCAAATGCTCCTTGAACTCCAGCAGCCTGGGACTGTGCCCACTGCCCTGGGCAGCCTGTTCCATGCCCACCACCCTCTGGTGAAGAAACTTTTACTAAGGCCTAAACTGACCCCCTGATGCAGCTTCATGCCATTCCCTTGGGTTCTGTCATTGGTCAGCTACAAATCTCCTCCTCAAAAACAAATTCACCACATAAACAGGAAATACTACAGGGGGTCAGTTTCAGGAAGCCCATTGCTAGCAGCAAGTAAACACAAGGAACATGGGCATTGCAATGCAGCACTGTCCTGAAGACCCCACCAGTTGTACTAAATCACTGATCTACACTGATTTTCACCAGGCAATGCATGCCAGCCTTCAGCCAATGACTGTGTACTAGCATCAAGACGTTTCCTTCCAAGAGAGGAAGTAAGTGAGGAAAGAAGTATCCGTTTCAAAACATGATCAAAGATTTCCAAGAAGAAAAATAAGCAAACACAACCTACTGCTTCTGCACCAATTTTGTTCAAGATTACAAAAAAAAAATAGGAAACAGAACTCAGAACACTGCATACCCTGTTCGGTTCAATTTTGTCTAGCACAGTTACATGGCATTCATTACAGTTCTCAGCGAGCAATACTTACATTGCAGTAGAAAGGGTTCACCTGCTTCTTTACCTCCGCCTCGAGATCCATAGCTGCCCTTTAGGTGACACAGGAGCTCTGGGAAGACTACAGAAAGACGGCAAGCTGTTATTTCAGCGCCAGGAAACCATCCGCTCCGCGCCTCCGAGCCTTACGCATATTCCAATTTTAACTCGTCCTCAGCGGCATTAAGCCCCTAAACCTCCGGCCTAACGGCGGTATTTTTAGCTCGAATGCCACGGAAAGAAGCAGTTCTTCCCCCGAAGCTTCCTTTGAGCGGCACAAAGCCCCCAGAAGGTCACGCGCGCCCTCGAAGCAGAACAAAGCCGAACTACTCCCAGCGTCCCCACGTTCCTCGAGGCCGAGAGGCGGCTCCAGAGCTCGAGAGGTCTCGGCCACGCTTCCTGGTGGGGACGGTGCCCGGGACCCCGGTCTTACCGCCGGCCCGACGGCGCCTGCAACCGGTGCGGCGCGGCCGCCTCCTCCCGCGGGGCCGCTCGCGCTCAGGCGGCGGCCGGGCCCCGGCTCACCGCCTCCCCCGGCGGCCGCTGGGAGCGCTGCTGAACGGCCGCCGGGCGCTGTCGGAGGTAAAGCCCGGCCAGGGGCCGAGCTCCAGCGTGGCGTGAGGCGTGAGGCGCTGGGGTGTAGCCGGGTTGCGAGCCCCCTCGGCGCCTTGCGGCAGCGCCGCGCCTTCCCCGCGCCGCGCCTCCTCGCCGCCCCGTAGGGCCGCCGGCTTGCCCCGCGGGGCCGGGCCCGCTGCCCGCTTCCTCCGGGGAGAAGGCGATCCAGCGCGGGCTTTGCGGGGAGCCGCGGAGCGGCGGCGAGCTGCCGGCGGGGGGGAGCAGAGCGGGGCGGGGGCGGCGGCGCTTTGTTACCGGCCCGGGGGAAGCAGCGCGCGTCTCGCCGCACGGCGCGGCCTCGGCGGGAAGAGGGGTAGCGGCTCACGGCCTCCATCCATCCATCCATTCCTCCGTCCCTCCGCGGTAGATGTTGCTGAAACCGTGTGTCAGCTGCAGCCTGCATGTCCGCCCTGGGTGGAGCGTTCTCCTTTGTCGAGCTGGGAGCCGTTCTCCTGCCTCAGCCGAGCAGAAGAGGAGCTAGCGAGGAGAAGGAAGCGAGCTGGAGTTGATGCGGGAGAAGTTCGTGTGCAGGAGAGTCTGGTAGGATTGCTGTTTGTGGCTCTGTGGGGTGGATTTCGGGCGCTGGTTGGGGATGCCGACTTGCATCCATCACCGTGCTTCTCACCAACGGCTCTGCATGGCCGCGGGCGGCAGGATGACCCGTTTAGAATATATCTATCTGCGTTCGTCAAATACGGCGTTGGATGTTGCATAGTTTAACGACGCATCGCAGGTCCGTAGGCGAAACATGGTGAATTTAAACCAATAGGTGATCTTGCTTGTTTGTACCACGACATCGATTAATTAGTATTAAAATGGGTAAAAGCGCTCAACAGGTTCTGTTTGCTGATGATGCGTGACAGCATTGCCGTCCGTGTCGCGTTGGTGTTGGCAGTGTGCGCCTCAGTCCCCGCCGGTGCCGCTTCTCACAGGGTCGGGCCTGGAGCACTGATGGGCGCTGCGAGGAAAGCAAACACCGGAGGAGGAAGGACGCTGTTTGCTGCTGGTTCTGTCATTCACATGAAACATAAACCTGTTGTTGTGGCTTCCTTTGGTCTCGGCGTTTCCCGTGCCTTTCACCCTCAGACACTGAAAAGTACAACATCGACTGGTTTCCAATGCTGCTAATTGCCAATTACGCTTAAAGCTTCATCTGTAATTTAAGTTGGATAGATTTTCTTTTTATTCCCATTAGCTATTTCTGATAGTAAGCCTGTTGGCATTGGCAAATGACTTCCATGTTCACACTGTGAGCAGCTGCAGTTTGCTAGCAAACTGTTATCTGCGTTTTGCTTACAGTAACCTTCACATTTGGCTTAAGACTTCCACCATAACCTTCTCTTTGCATTTTCTCGTGGCTAAATAAATACCTCGGGGACTGAAGATGCTCACACATGTCGGCATGAAGGGATTTTCTTTCCAACAGGCTTCTTTGTAACTGGCTCGAGTTTGTCTGAATGTGTGCAAGCAAAATAATATGCATAGACCTACTTACAAGCATACATGCACTTCTTCACTTATGCAATTTTTTTCCCCAAGGTATTCTTCCAGCAGATCACAGTCTATACCTTGTAGTCCTCAAGAGAAGAATTCCACACAGTGCTTCAATTTATCAAGAGTTGGGAGATGTTTTTGTTATTTTCAGATAAAGGTTTGTGTGAGAGAAGTATTTAGGACACTGATTTGTTTTAATGCAAGTTATGAATAGAACTATGCCAGGAGAAGATAATTACCACAAAGTAATTCTTAACAGCATAGTGCAGTCTTACAACCTGGGCACTCAAATCTGAGAAACCTTCCATTCTTTCTTAGAATTTACACTGTGACTGTCTTCATATGCCTACACAGTCCTGTTTACTGCTATATTCAGTAAACAAGTTCAATTTCAACACATGTTCCAACAGGCTAAATTATATCCTGGGTATATGTCTTGGGAGCATCTTTCAGCCTCAAATGGAAATGATCTGAGTTTGAGAGAGCCCTTTCCCATATTCCACTTAGGAGCTGGTGGACTGTCAGAAGGCGATCAATATCCACAAAGGTGAATATGAATGCATGCTGCACATTCTCAGTGCTTTAAATTGTCTTGCATCTCAGACTGCTTTCAACTCACCTTGTTGAAAATGGGTTTTAATTTATTGAAAGAAGCAAGCTAAATATACTACAGCATGAAAAGAATCTTTAGGAAATTCTTTTTTTTTCTTGAGCACATTAAACTGCTTTTAGCTGTTCCTGAGTTCTTTTATGTATCCTAAGTCATAATCCTACATTTTTCACTGAAGGGGCACAGGCACAGTGTGCATGTGTAGGAAGAATAGCTAGGAATGTACATGGGGGAGGGAAAGACTAATATACTGTATTCTTCTCAGACCAGGGCCTGCATTTCCTTTTGAACTGTACAGTGTTTGAGCTTCTAACTGGGGATTTCAGATGCTATTGCAATAAAAATAATAGCAATAAGTGATATTTTGGGTATAAAAGTGATGCTTCAGTGTTTGCAGTGTCTTCAACTATGAAAGAAGAGCTTTTATCCTTATATATAGGGTGTGAACATGTATGAAGTTGCATTTGGAAGTGTTTTAAATATTCACTGACATCAGGTGATCTGTCAGTCTCTGTAGCCAAATATTGAGCACCTTTATCACCTGGAATCCAGAAATCCAGGTATTATTAAGTTTAACCTTATGAACTCAATTTCCAAAACTGAAAAATTGATTGTTATGCTAATTAAAGGGATTTTTTACACATAAATGTGATCATTTTCAGTATGAGTTTTTCGCACTCTTTCAAAGCTAGAAGCAGGATTTACGTGCCTCAGTGGGAAACAGCATCATCCCTTTTTGACCCCGTTTGTGGGATTTGCAAGTAAGGTGTTAAAAATGCTGGTGTCTGTATCTCTTGCGTAAACCTTGGGGATGTAGGTCTGAGAGCAGCTGAAGAAGGGAGTCTTGGATAGCATGAGAGGCCTGTTTCGGCTACAGATACGTGGTTTCAGCAGAGTCTTAAAGACCACAGTGCCAGCAGGGCACTACTTTTGGTAGTAGTTTGTCTGTTAGCTTTTTGTGTATATGTTATTGCCTTCAAGGAAAGGTGAGAATAGCTCTAAGTATCAGGACGTTTTGAGGAAAGGAATTATGAGGATGGTACAAAGAGAATGCTAGTGCAGTGCTGCTAAAAAAAAATATTTGGACTGAAAAAGAGAAAGTATGATGGTGACATCTATTGAATCATCAGGTAATGTTGTGAGAAAAGTAGTGGAAACAGTGGGCAAAATTCTAGAAAATTAATTCATTCTGGTCTTATGTTTACAACTTATGGAAGCACTGCTTTGTTCTTTTTTTTTTCTTAGCTGAGAGTTCTCTGGTATCAATTTTGCTTTTCCTGTTTTGTACTTAAGTCCTAGGCTTGAGAAGACAAGTGGTAGTTAAACATGGTGTAAGTCTACAGCAGTGGTCTGAATGAGACCAAAGCTCTTTTTAGCTATGAAATCATAAGGAATAGTGACACACATGCTTGCTCAGCAGTAAAGGGTGAAGGACTTCTTCTTTGCTGTGTGGATGGCTGAGCAGTGCCCAGAGGGTTTGTGGAGTTTCCCTCCTTGGAGCAAAAGAATGACATGACATGGACCTGTTAGTGTGGGTCCAGAGGAAGGCCACAAAAATGATCACAGGGCTGCAGCACCTCTTGTATGAGAACAGGCTGAGAGAGCTGGGGCTGTTCAGCCTGGAGAAGGCTCCTGGGAGATGTTACTGCAGCTTTCCAGTATTTAAAGGGGTCCCTCAGGAAATCTGGAGGGTGACTCTTTTTCAGGGAATATAGTGATAAGAGATTTAAAACTAGAAGAGGGTAGGTTTAGGTTAGATGTTAGGAAGAAATTCTTTACAATGAGAGTGGTGAGGCTCTGGAACAGGTTGCCAGAGAGACTGTGAGCATCCCGTCCCTAGAAGTGTTCAAGGCTGGGTGGGGCTTTGGACAACCTGGTCTAGTGGTGGATGTCAGAGGGTCTGGAACTAGATGAACTTTACAAGTCCTGTCCAACTGAAACTATACAGTGACTCTGTATGCAGATATCTGGATGTGGACCTGGGCTCCCTACTCAGGGTGCCCCTGCTGGAGCAAGGATTGGACAAGACGAACCAAGAAGAAGGCCCTGCCAACCTCAGCCAGGCTGTGATTCTGTGACCTGTACCTTCAGAGTACAGAGTTACTTTTCGTAATTAGCTCATCATGTTTTCTTATAACCCCCATCTTCTCTCAGTATCATAATGTTGATGAGGAACCTGCTCCCTCCTGGATATCAGTCAAGAAGGGCTGAACATGGGAGAGAACCAAACAGAAGTCTTTCAAAAGAGAACTTCATGCTATCATTTCTCATAGAACTTCCAAATATTATAGAAAAGAGAAGGGAGAAATCAGTTGTATGCATTCAATATGGACAGAAGAGGGTCTTTGGTGCATCCAAGGGAAGACAAACCTGCTGAAGGTGGCTTTAGACTTCAATCAGGAGTTATCAAGGGCTGGATTTCAGAACATATTCCATAGCTCAGGGTTTTGAAAACTCTCTGCATAGAGAAACAAGTTATTAAAAATAAGCTACTAAGTAAATTAAACACTGTATGTTTTGCATCGTGGCACAGATTATAACAGGCAGTATCTTCCTATTATCGTATACTTCATGTGGAACTGTGTAAATTAGCAGTAGAAGCCAACTTACAATTATACTGTATCTAACTTGAATGTTTTATTATTTACCCTAGAAGTATGCACAAGCTATTCCAGTAAAGAAATTGTTTTGGAATCAGAGGTTATATTTAGCAGTTGTTTTGCTGAAACACAGTTTCTTGATACTGTAACCAATTATAACGGGTGTTCTAATTCTTTGTTTTTAACTTTTTTTTTTTTTTTTTGGTAGGATTTCTGGCTTCTTGGAGAAACAGTAGAAAATGCAAAACGAAATAATAAAGCCTGCTAAATACTTCTCGGAAGTGGAGAAGAGTGTGCTGCTTGCTCTAGTGGAGAAGTACAGATACGTACTTGAATGTAAAAAAAGTGATGCGAGGACTATTGCTCTGAAACAACGCACCTGGCAAGCATTAGCACATGAATATAACTCACAGCCCAGTGTATCTCTGCGAGACTTCAAACAGTTAAAGAAATGCTGGGAAAATATCAAGGCACGGACAAAAAAGATAATGGCACATGAAAGGCGGGAGAAGGTAAAAAGCATTAGTCCACTTATAAATACTCACATCATAGGGAAGGAGAAGATTGCCAGCATAATGCCTGAGCAAATATACTTTTTGCAGAGCCCACCAGAAGAAGATTCTGAATATCAGCCTGATGCTTCTAGTCAAGGTATACATGTTATTGTGATGGTGCATGTCATTTTCTTTTGTCTGTGGTTTTGCTGCTGAGTCTCATTCAGAAGTCTAAATCTATCCATTTAACTGTGACTGCTGCTTCCAGAAAAGTAATTTCAGAGCTGTGATATTACAAGACTCTGTGTATTTCCTTAGCCTCCCCCTTAAGAGTTAAACGGAGGTTTTCTTTTTCTTGTCTTTTAAGCCAGTTATTGACAGACCTTAAGCTTTGTAACAAGCGTCTGATATTTTGGTCCTTTAATAAAGTATCATTCTGTTGGGAAAAGATCCAAATAGTAAAAAATAAATATATAAATAAAAACCTAACAGCAGCAAATTGATAGACAACTATCTGCTGCAAGAGTTCTATGCAGGTCTTCCCTCATTTGTTTTCAAGAAAGAATAGTGTTTATAGAGTTATATGTGATGCTGCAGTGTGCATTGAAGAATGGCACTTCTGTAAAGGTTGGATACTATATTCTTTGTTTGGCAAGCATACAGAGAAGGAATAATAGAAGACTAAAAGGGAGAGCACCTACAGTGCTTTCTTGTAGGCTTTACTTTGTCAGGAACATAGGAACATATACAGAAGACTGTTCTTGCTAAAAAGACATCAGTAATGTCATTGTATTTACCATAAGTGGTAATTTGGATTTGTGAAGGAATGCATTTTGAGAGCCATATTTGCAGTGGTTACTGTTTTATTCCATAAATAGTTTATTTTCCTTCAATGGAATAGATAGAACCTTCTCAAAGTGAGAACTACGTAATTTTTTTTCCTAAAAATTATACAACACTGTTTATTGGCATGCACAGTGATAAAGAAGGAGCAAGTAGCAGACTTCCTAATATTTCCTCAGTCTGTTGGTGTTGATACAGATGCAGCTCTTTACCTGCCGTTCTTTCATAAAATTATTGCTGGTCACATAGATATTTGGTTTAAAAATCTGCGTTAAGGTTCAGCTCCAGGCTGAGGCACCTAAATTTAGATGCCTACTTACAGATGCCTATATTTGCTTTAGTGTTCTGAGCTCCTGTTAGAGCCACAGAGGACTACTGACAGTGCCCAAAGTGGTTCATTTCAAATCATTATTCCCTCGGTGTTCTGTAACAGAACAGCATTATGTAGTGGCTCCTGTACTCTGTGTACACAAGTGTAAGGTTTAGATATATACATCTCTGTAACTTTATTGTCACAAGTCCATGTCTCTCGAGGGAAAAGAGGTGGATACTACAATACTTTTTTTTTCTTCTGTTTTGCAGAGTCATTTGTTGTCTCAAATAGAGAACTTTGTGATGAAGAGAAAGAGCTGATACATTTCCCAGTGTGTGAAGGTACCTCCCAGCCTGAGCCTTCGTGTTCTGATGTCAGAATAGCAGCAGATAAGAACTACAGAAGCAAAGCATCTCAGGAAAGTGCTCTGAAAAAGATGCATGAGGAAGAACATCATCAGCAAATGTCAATTTTGCAACTGCAGTTAATCCAAATGAATGAAGTTCACGTGGCAAAAATACAACAAATAGAAAGAGAGTGTGAGATGGCTGAAGAGGAACACAGAATAAAAATGGAAGTGCTAAATAAAAAGAAAATGTATTGGGAGAGAAAATTGCAGACCATCACAAAAGAGTGGCCTGTATCATCCTTTAACAGACCCTTTCCTAATTCACCGTAGAACAGAAAGTGGCAGAATTAATCTGACTGAGCACATTTATAAGTAATGCACACTGGAAAGATGGTTTTTTAATGTGAATGTACAGTGGCAGAATAGGTGCCCAGCTGATAGTGAACACACTTTGATTCTTAACATTTATGGCAACAGTGGTAGAGCCTACCAAGGGAAAACAGTTTGACTGTGGGTAATTCTGACCTGTGTAACTTCCCCTTGCAGAATACCCTGGCATCCTTTTGAAATTCAGGGTATTCTGGGCAGTCATACGTTGAGTATTCTTTAAAAAAAAAAAAAAGGTTTTGAACATCTGGTTACAGTATTTATTTTGATTTCTGTCTCTTCATGTTTGTCTTTTCCTGAATGAAGGCAGGGGTTAGAATTGCTCTCTCCTATTGAGAGAAAAGGTGATTAACAGTGATGCTCAGATTGTTACACTGGGGCACAGAAAAACAAAACAGAACTTGTCCTTGGTTAATATACAGTCCCTAAACCATTCTTTGTAGAGGATGTGAAAATGAAGGAAGTAGCAAAAGGAGCACTGTGGTAATTGAGTGCTTTGCTTGTGAAGAACAACAGTGATGTTTTCTAGCTGGCTGGCGGGCTGAGAGAGTGGTTTGTGGAGTGGCCCTCGTGTTCCCTTATGAAGTTGTAAAGAAGGTGACTTCTTCCCCAAAAGCCACTTGTCCTCTCCTTTCCAGGACTATCTTGTAGTCAAGTAGAATGCTGAAATAGGAGGGATGCTTGCTGCTGCCAATGCTGTGTGCTGCTCCCTTGGAGTCATTGTGAGGGGAAAGGCTACTTAATTATTCATACAGCTCTCAAAATGTGGCAAGTCACCTAACCCACTGGCAAAATCTGCCTTTGTTTCCCCATGACATACTTGATGGTTTAGCAGCTAACTAGCTACAAAAGAGGCTAAGTAAGACTTGTTATCTTTTCCAAAGTTTTGAGTGAGAAGCAGTGCAAGGGGGGTCATTCCTGTCTTGGAGCGCTGTTTTATTCTGTTGTGTGTGTTAAGGTGATGTATTTCTTGCCTTTGCTGTCACTGAGGAGTGATGGACCTAATTTGTACAAAAACATTCCCATGAAAGCCCCCACAGACGGGGGCCAAGAATAGTAGATGGTAGGAAAGCACAAATAAAGATAATCCTTCCTCCAGCAATTGATTGTTCTGGTGGTGCAAGGATTAAGAGATGTGAAACACAGAACTCCACAAAGATTCATTCGTAAGATTTTCTGATGTGTGAAAAACTGTTTTGTAGGAAGGTGTACAGAAATCATTTGAAGTGGTGAGAAAAAATGAACAAAGGCATAAATTTTCAGTGAAAATCCCAAGTATTCCATTGTTCTAAAGTATTTTCAGGTCACAGTGAATAAAGGCACATCCAGACAAATAAACTTATTCAAGTTGAGGTTTGGTACAAAACATCCTTTCATTCCCAGCTGCACTCCTATTTCTTTCCTGGATGTTCTTTTGGTGCAATTTGTTTTGGTATTGGTTTTGGATTTTTTAGTGGGTGGTTTTCTTTTCCTCTTTTGAACTGCTTTCCCTGCTGGTGATTCATCTTTGCAAGCACTGCCATTATCAACCACAATGCTCACAGTGGTTAACACTGTGGTACATGCATTGCTCCCTTCAACATGCAAAGCAAGCACAATGGGAATGATTTATTGCAACTTATTTTATTTGACAGAGGGGAGTAAAAAAATAAAGGAGCTGCTGCAGTATTTTAAAGGGGAAAAAAAAAAAAAAAAAAAAAAAAAGGATGATGGATGAAATCTGAAGGCATATTTCTTTTTCTTGTCAGGAAAATCAGTTTTCTTATGAATTGGCTGTGTGGAAGAAGCACAGGACTTCCAAAAGAGGAGATAATTATGGACACTTTTTATTCTGCTGAATGGAAACATTACTGTGAGGTAGGACAATGATGTAGAACGATAGTGGAGGCAAAGAAAAGAAGTGAATGGTAGTGAGAACCTTCGTATCCTGAGGTTGTAATATGTAACCTGGAAGGTGAATCAGTTACTTGAGTGGTTATGGCAATTGATTAGGCACTATCCAGAAAAGGAATATGACATTTCTGATTCCTTCCACACTCCTCCTAAGTGAAAGTTGTTTGAAACTCTGGCATTGAAACCATGTGCGCTAAGGTGTCAAAAGATGACAAATGGAGACAATTCCTGTACTGTGAAAAGAGCAGAAATGGAGAGACAATTCAGACCTAGACAGCATGAGGTAATCCAGAAAGTATCTCATGGTACTTGAGATAAAGGTAGTCCTGACTCCTAACAGTTATAACGTTCCTCACAAAAGATTGTTTTATTTTTGTATTAAAGTCATTTGAAGTATGCATGTTTTCAGACTGTACTAAGTGGGAAATGCTGGTGTGTATACTTGTTCTGAACCCCGAAGTTACAGAGTTGCAGTCCTTACACTGAAAGGTATAACCTTCATTTCCAAAGCTGTATTACTGGAGCAAGGGATCTTGCTGCTTAACACAAACCCTCTCTGTGATGCTCCTTCCTACACAGCAGGGATGCCTTTAGCCAGGGCGACGCACCCAGCTCTCTGGTACCTTTGCAGGGGTTCACACAAGGGCAGGCATCACTCAGCACTCAGTCTGCAGGACCCAGCTGTCTCATTGCAGCCCTGCAAAATGCTAGGTTTGGGGCTACGTTTTCCTGAGTTACACCACATGTAGTGCAGCTGAGGAGATAGTCCTGAATTTTGTTGAAAGATGAGTTATCTTTGTGTGTTTGCAGAACTAAATGCTAGCAGTCTCTCAAGATATTTTTAACCGATTGTAGCTACAGTGGCTTTAATAATGGGTCCTGTTCCTTCTTCCACTCTCATGCTTTAACGTTTCCCGTGTGTTCTGTCTGAATTTGTGCTCAGAGCATCATACCTACATGATAACGCTGAAATCATTAACTCCCACACATTAAATACTGTTACTTTGGTGGTGGGTGAATTACATGGGAATCTTAAAGTAATATTTTTATTTAGGCAAGTGAGGTCCATGACAAGTAGTCCTGTGATTCTGTGTTTTGAGCCTGTTTGTTCAAAGTTGTTTTTATGATGCACTGATTCACCTAAGGCTTTGTTTTCATAATTGGCTTTCACTTTTCACTTTTCACTTGAATTTTCATCTTCTTAATGTTAAATGTAAAACTCGCACATCGCTGCTCTTCCTGAACTTTGTCTCTAGTTAGATATTCAGAAATGTTTCTGTGCAAATCAGTACTATGTGTACTAAAATTAATACACTAATAAAATAAGCCAAGTAACAAGATGATAGGACAATGTGCAGCAGCTGTTAATATTTAAAAATCATTACGAAGGGCAACTCTACATTTAATGGAAAGAAAGAATACCACTTGTTGCCATCTGTAAGCATAGCAAAATAATGTCTTTAAACAATGAAAGTAAGTTTTGATCTCTGTATCTGGTATCAGAGAATAACTTTTGAGCTGCTGATTTAAAGGGGACTGTGCTTCATAGGGTTTGGTGTTTGTTTTGTCACAGAATTACACACACAGAAAAATGCTGATTGCCTTAAATGCATATAGAAACGTGGACAGATTTCTGGGTAATGAAAGAAAAAACTCCTAGCTGTGACCCTGAGAATTTTGCTGTTCTGGTGGTGAGGGGATTAGGCATCCCACAACATCATTAGTCATGTTAATAAGACTGAGCAAATTAAAAACTCACAAAGCCAAAAATAAAATGCTGGTACAGTTACAGAGCGAGCCACAAGTGAGGACAGCTCCTGGCTGTCCTTAGAGAGAGCTCTGTCACGTCAAAGAATTCTGCCACACAGTCTTCACTTTTCCTGTTAAAACAGCCACAGGAAAAAGAAGAAAAAAGTCAGTAAAATAGAATTTAGCAAATATCTGTTGCTTCTCCAGAAGAGCTGGCAAGACAAAAAAATGCTACACTATATAAATACTTATATTTAGGGAAAGAACTCTAATGTAATAGAAATAGAGCACGATAGATTTTTAGAGAGTCCTTAATTAAATAATGTGTTTTTTAAAAAAATGTTGATTGAGAGTGTGTGGGTTTTTTTGTTTTTTGGTTCTTTTTGTTATTCAGTCCAACTGCAGAATAGTTGTGTGCTTCAGTTTCTGACTGAGTATTGGGGCACCTAATTAATCAAACTTGTTTGGCAACAGAGAAGTAGGTTTGCATTCAACACAACTTGAGATGGATTATATTCCAGCAGCGTTCAGATATTTTTTCTCGGATGTAAGGGGCTGTTCTTGGACGGTCCTCAATCAGGAATTGGCATTGGATCCAATTTAGTTGTAACTCACTATTCATACAGTGCTAATGAGGTGACATATAAGCTCTTCATGCTCTGCATATAATTTGGTCACGCACAAAACCCATATCTTTCCATACAGTACACCACGAGATGTTGTACTGAGCAACAAACAGACCTGATGTTTCTTCTATATAAAGGCCTGCTATGCATTCTGTGCCACAGTGTAACATGCAGGCAAAATTTGACTTCTGTTTGGTTTTGGACTTTGAAAATTTTGACCTGTTATCCTCACTGAATTTTGTTTGAAATTCCTTTCTCCTGTTAGGCACCAGAACTGAAACTCTTGGCTTTATAGCTTCTAAATACCAAACCTATGGACTGAATTGACACACACGTGATAAATTCCATTTATTTGAAAAAAGACCTTGTACATACTGTCACATACTGAAACTCCAAATGCAAACTAGGGAGGTGATGTGATGGATTTGGTATTTAAGCCAGCACTGAAATTTTGGCAGGCTGGGAGTTATCACTGCTGACCTAATACAGAGGTTTGGCCTCTTGACTGCAAGAACAATGATGTCCAATCCAAATGTTGCCTTACCTCAAACTTTCTATCTAAAATGAGGTGTAATAAGAAATTCTTGCCAAATAAAGCAACAGTAGTTTCCAAAATGCATTTGTTTTGATTTGGTTTGATTTCAAGTACTGCCTTGCCCAAGGGCTCTAAGGCTCTAAGGCTGGGCCTTATGGTGCACACTGTTGTTGGCTGATAGCATTTTGAGAATGCTTCCCACGCTGGTTTTGTTCCGATTCTCTTGACTGTAATGCTCTCATCTGGCTGTACGCAGTACGATGTGGTGATGCTGATGGGACCAGGGGTTCTCAAGTTGCCTGGCACCGAGTGCCTGCCTCTTTTACAATTACCAAATCGACTATGGTGGATGAATTTGTATGCAAACGAGGGGTCAGCAGGAACAGCCATTTTTGCTAACCGTGTTGCGGAGGTGCCTCGTCGCACCAAGAGGGCAGCAAGTTGAAGTATGATTGGTAAATTACTGTAGCGGTACTTGTATTTCTGTCTCAGCCAATTGCAACAAATCCTTCTGGGTTAAATCTTGCTTTTACTCCTCTCATAGATTGATCAATTAGTTGTTTGTTTCCATTGTACATTTACACAGTCTCTCTGAAGCCAACAGATTTCTGTAGGTTGCTGTGGGTTTGATAGAGAAGTCTACATCTCAACTTTCATTCTGGTCCAAAAGTCACAGCTCTTGTGTAAATCTGGCACAAACGCATTGCCAGGGAGCAGGGCTGGAGAAGTCAGATGTGGGAAAAAAGTGGCCGAGGTCTGCACCCTTCTCCTACACAACTTGGGGTTAAGTGTCCAAAGCTCAATGGTACAGCAAACTTGATCTGCAAACTCTCACAGTGTAAAAAGTATGGGTGTAGTAACTGCAGGGGGTTATTTTGGTGATCTTTAAAAATGATAAGCAATTTAAAAAATATAGATTGTACATTGACGTCTTCCAAATCGTGGGACAGACTGAAATTATACCTTGTCAAATGTTCAACTACCAAGAGCAATAAATTACCACAGCTTCAGTCTGATGGGTTCAGTTTTCTGTTAGGAATTGGTTAACCAGTACAGGAAACGCATCATACAGACACGCTCACCCATTCTGTGTAAAATCTTTGCTACTTCCATCATTACTTCAAGTTCCTTAAAAAAACTAAACATAGCTGTTGTTAATGAATCCCCACATGGATGTATATAAGTTAAACAAAATGAAAAATAGGTTTAATATTTTTCTACATATTTCATGTTTTCCTCTATTCGTGGTCTTTTGTGTTTATTTTTACTTCCCTCTTTTTTTTTTTTTTTCTTTTTTTTTCTTAAGTGACTAATGTTAAATAAGGAGAGTTCTGATCTTTAGGTTCTAGACATGAGATGTCCTGGTATTTCAGACCAGTACTTGAAAAGGTTCCACAGAACCAGAAGGCACAGCCCTCAGAGCATCCTCTTTGTGGTTGTATTTCTGGACTTCAGTCGTAATGCATACAGCTGGCACCCAGCAGTACCAGTGTTGGATGATAGATACATTGCTTAACAGGAGCAATCACATTATGGTTTTCTTTAACTTTATTTCTCCTGGAATGGCTCTTGTTGCTACATAAGAACCTCTTTTACAAAAATGTATGCAGTTTACAAAAGTATTTTTTGCAGTACTTGAGACGGAAAAAGGCTTTAAGAGAGAATTCATTTCTAGATGCGTTATTGTCAACTGTACAATGTACATAATTGTACATCGTGTTGGCCAGGTTTGAAGAACTCTTCTTTCTCCAAGGGGAAAAAGCAACTTTTGTTTTAATCTGGCAATGACTCAGGGTGTTGTTATTCAAGGTTGTTACAAGCAGTTCTCCCTCCACTGCCATTTTTTAATCTTGCAGAGATTTTCCCTATTTTGCATGTATATTCCACAAGCACCTGAATTCCTTTGGTCATGGAGACTGTGAGGATGTTCTCAAAATCAAAGCAGAATCTTTCCATGTGTATGCAGAATGCTCAACATTGCTACTATCCAAATGCAAAGGAATGGGAAATCTGATCCCTAAACCACTGCCAGCCCCTAAAGCTTGGTAATCTCAAGAAGAAACTTGAACCCAGGTGCCCCTTTTCGTCATTCTTGTGTAAGTGGTTGAAATTAGGAAACCACGCTTTATTTACACTGTGTTGGACTTATGCACCATTAGTTTCTGCTGTATTTTAGCAATATATGAAACAGCATTGTACAGTGTTTGTTCTTGTTGTCAGCGAGCATCTACAGAGGCAATTCTAAAAGTAAAGTAATGCCTCCTGTTTATTTCCATGGAAGCTACAACAAAGAGCACAATAACACTATTTATAGAGCAAATTCGCAGCTACAAAATACTGTTTTTCATCACAGTCACCACCATTAGCTATGCATTTTCACTAGCGATGAACAGGAGCCTGCATCCTGTGCTTGTAAAAATCTGCACCAGCAGAGGTGACCCGCTGCCGCTGTCACCACTGCTCAGATGCACCACCCACTGCCTCACTGTGCTCACATCCACTGTTTGGTCTCCATAAACATTCAGCAAATTTCAATGAATATCAACGGGTACAAGTTTTTCTGAATTTGGTCCCACACTTTTGCTTCATATGTACTTCCACTTGAGGCACCATTTTGTCAGTCTGCTTCTCTGCTGCCATCTGTCGCACAGCAACAAAATGTAACACAGTATTGGTGGGAAGGTTCAACCACTACTGCCATCCTATCAACATCTGCCTCTGATGCCAATATAATAAAACAGGAGGCATCATTTTTGGAGCAGCCATTGCAAAAGAGAGCTAGCACTTAAGTCCTGAGCAATTTGTCCTAAGATACTTGAAAATGTGCACACTCCTTCTGGTGTTAAATATTTTAATAGAACATTAGATGGTATCTCTTGTGGTCTTTGCCTTTTATTAGCAAGTTTCTGGGCTTGCTTTTTAATTGCACCGAAAACTATACATTATTTCAGCCCCAACTTTGGTTAAGCCATGAGGTGAATCGGATTTGTCTAGCATGGTGTCAGCCTCAGCCATCTCACCCACCATGAAGTGTTAGTTTAGTATTTTAGTGCCTCAGATTATCATCAGTGTTGTTCCTGTCCTGCACAGAAGTAGCTTCTGTGCAAACAATTTTTGTTGATTGGTTTCATAATTGACAACTAAATTGGATAAATAACGCCCATGGTAAGGTCTGAATCCCAAGAAGCTTACAGTTGGTATGCCTACGTCCTTAGAAATGGGAAGAATCTTTATTTGGTAGACATTTACTATTTCATAGTAAATTCTTTGCTATTCCTACAGAAACAGCAACTGAAAGGACACAAAAGTAGGATTCTAAAATGTATAATTTCTAATGGTGGAGATGTAAGAAACGCAATAAAATGTGACACTGGAAAAAGAGAGTCAGTATTTGTCCAAGTAAGAGGAATCTGCTGTATGTCTGAAACTCATAGAGTATGTAATAAGGATGACTAACTAACTGTACATTTTAGTGCCTTGTTTCTTGTAAAATGTTGAATCATAAATTACTAAACATAAACTGTGAAGAGTTTCTGAGAAAATGTATCTAAATATTGCCAGTGGAAACTGTAAATTCACAGAAAGGTCAATAAATCCTCAACTATTGTTAAGTATTAATTAGAAGAGATTTTCAGTCTCCTTTCTCTCCTTTCTCTCTTGTTTTCAAATAGCATCACTGAATTTACCCGTGGCTGTGCTATTTCTGTCCTAAACTAAACTCTGCTCAGTTGCATGGAAGAGAGAAACTGTTTCTGAGTTACATTCTCAGACTCAGTGAGAGAAAGTGCTGTTTGTGATGCCCTTTGTGTATTTTTCCACAGAATTTGGTATTTTTGTTGGGCAAATACTGATATGGTCACAAGCTTCTCTAAAATGTTCACCCTATATGTTTACTGAGTAGCTCACATTTGAACCTGAGCATAAGCATGAGCACTTTTTATGGGCAGTCTTTGGTAGTGATAGATTGGCAACAAAAATAATTGGATTCCTATTAAGAGCACCTCAAGGATATCAGGAGGAAGTCTACAAAAGCGCAGGCAACTAACTAGTACTGTGGCATCACCTGTACCTGCTGTGGTATGGGCAGATGTCTTGCCAGGACAGGACCTCAGAGGCAGATGGGTGACCATGCAGTTGTTCTGGATCACAATACAGCTCCACCAAATCCGGTATCTAACCTAGGAGAATGGCCAGCAGCACAAGCCGAGCAAAAAGCATTAAACAAAGTAAGCATACAGTACTTCCAGAGTACACACTGATCTGTGAGATGGATGCTTCATGAGATTTGTTTATATTTAACAGCTTTCTATGGAAAAAATTTGTAAAACATTTTTTTGAACTTCTGTAAGTTATCGGTAACCATGCATTCCACAGCAGGACTATATGTAATGTGAAAAAATACCTTCTTTATTTGCTCTAAATACAGCTTCCCTCATCTTAGCATGTTGCCCTACCTTCTCATGTAGAACCTTGAGTTAGAAACTCAAAGTCCTTAAGGCTGGTTCAAATCAGGTAAGAGTGCACATGGCTCAATCGGTTGGTGTCTCTTCACCAACATAAGGTGGTTTCTCACTTGCTTGTCACCTTGTTCTCTGGTTTGTTTTGCTGAGCAAGAAGACCATGACTATGGTGCACCAGAACTATGATATGTATTCTGAGCAAGCTGTTGCATATGTGATCTATTGTATTCTAAGCAAACAATGTATTGGCCTGTGACTAATCAGTATTACAGGGAGGGGGAGAGAGGGAGGTAGATTAGGTTGGGTAACGTTATACGAATTCCAGAAAAATTAAATTAAGGCAGGAAAAATTATATGACCTGTCTCACTGGCACATCTGTCACATGATGGGGTACTTCACGCAACTGGAGTTGCGGGGAGGAGAGGGCTTGCAATCTGAGGGGCACTCCAATGTCCTCCAGCATCCAGATCTTATCCCCCTTTTTGTCATTTTGTCATAATAGCAAGGAGGTTATGCAAGCTGAGATAAAGACAGGGTTATGAAAAGACACGACTTTGCAAAAAAACAGTGCAAATTCTGTTGGCTCTTTAAGACCTCATTTTCAGTTCCCCAAAACATGAAGGAGTATTCCTCGGTTAATTGTCGCACGGGTTTTATGCTTGCCATGTTTCTGGCAGAGGTGGCACTTCTCTTTTCCTTGTTAACTTTTGGTCGCGACTCAGGCATTTGACATGAGAACCAGACTACACGCAATTAGGCATAGATAAGTTTAGCAGATGCAGCTGGAGGCAGGTGGAGTTACAGAGGCACAGCTACAGCCTTATCCAACCTACACTGTGAGGAGCAGTTCTCAAACAGACGGTGGCTACTGGATCTAAACCTTGTCCTGTTCGCCGACTTCGTGCAACCAACTCTTGTTCAGCAGGCTCTGTTTGGGTTATATTCCACAAATTGATACAGAAAAATAGGAGCAAATCTCTCCCACTGCATTTGATCAGAAAGCAACAAGCACTGTCATGAAATTCAAAAGAAAAAACAAAAGGTCATGTATATATGTTTTATACACAATCATGTATAAAAGTAGGAGTGAAACACCGTTTTTACACATTTCAGTCACTCCTCACATCAAAATAAGGCTTCTCCTCCTTAACTCATTTTCAGCCAGAAGTGAGTTAAATAGCCTTTGTAGGTGCTCTTCAAGGTTCTCAAAACTTTCAGAATGTGAACACAGGACACCTGAAGATAGGTTTGTGCACCTGAAGGCTTGTTCCTTTATTTATTTATTTCATCTAAACCTTCAGATGTAGTAAAAGACCTAACTTCCATCTACAGCCTTTTTCTGAACAAAAGTTGCCTCTTGGTAGAGAAATGAAGAAAACACAAGTGGAGTCTACCCAAAGGAGAAATAAATGTAGCTGTTGGCAGAAAGGGTATTGTTTAATAAGGAAAAGGAAGCAAAAATGAATGGTAATAAATATGAACTAGAAGCTAAAGAAGTTCAGCAGTGATAAATGTTAATCACAGTAGGGAAAGAAGGTTTAACCAGCAGAGCTAAGGACATGAAGCTGAAGTCTTTGAGGTGTACAAGAGAGTGGGAAAAAAAAACCATAAAATAATGAAGTAAACATTCTTGTTCATATATGCCAATGGTAAACAGTTGGTGATACAGAAAAGGCAAATGATAAAACAAATAGTTTCTTCTGCATTCAGAAATCAGTAAATTACTGGTTTCTGGTTGACAGTAGACTGGTTGTGTGAGAAATATAAACAAACACAGATTTTTTCAAAGAAAATGAATTTCTGCTAGAAGGAGAAAGTGTTTTGTTTTGTTATGTGTCATTAAAATGTGCAGGAAGGTTGTACTGCGAGCCCCAGAACTGATGGCTGACCATTTCTGCTTAACTGATACTCATCTCAGAAGACTGGGACGATTAAGCACCCTGGAGGAGCACTGATGGATACTAGTTGAGGAAAGGGTCGCTATGGGAAATCTGAATGTAATTAGCATCCTTTCTGTAGAGAGAAAAAAAAAAAAAAAAAAATTGCATTGTATCAAATAAATCTGGTTTTGTTTTTAGACAAAGTCCTAAGTGTGATGAAAGAGGTAATAAAATGAAAAGAGGTAATGATGAAAAACACACGGACATTGATAGACTGCGTGCTTTAATGTAACATGATTTACGAAAAAAAAGAGAGAGAGAAATGTTCCAAATAAAATAGCCTAATAATTGATTAACTGACAGAAATGACAGACATAAAAATACTTGAAAAGCAGTTGTTGGTCAAAGATTTTTTGCAGAGACATTCCATAGGTATTGGCAGTGGGAACAATCTTGCAGAAAACTTACAAGTCATCCCTCTTGTTTACTGTCAGGTCCAAATTTGCCAAAATGGTAATAATACAGCAAGACAGCCCTGGTATCACTTATTCTGTGAGATGAGCTAATTCACAGAAGTGTCTCAAAGCAGAGAAGCACAACAATGAATTTGGAATAGATGCCTGCAGGTGGAAAAGCATCCGACAAGCAAGGACCCTGACCATCAGAGCATGATTCTGTAATGACAGCGAAAGGGGAACATAACTGGATTTTGGGCGGTCCTGCGTGGAGCCATGAGTTGGACTCGATGACCCTGGTTGGTATCTCCCCACTTGGGATATTCTGTGACAACAAGGGTTGGCAGCAAAAGATGAACTGATATCTCCGTTCATAGCTCTGGGGAATCCAACAGCAAAATCTTGCGGTTGGATCTCATGGCTTGTGTGTAAAACTGAAAAGATGAGAGTGAGGACATGAGGCGTTCTGAGTGATGGATAGGAGACATTTCCATACACTGACTGTCTTAATTAGATTATTTTTTATGGCTTATGAACAAGTATTTGGCAAAGTAGCACGATCTGAGTGCTGAGAATTTCCCTCAGGAACAACAAAAATGAAATTGCTGAAGGGCTCTTTAATGTAGCCCTCTGGATACCCTCTCACCAACTAGTTATGTAGGAAACACTGCGGGTAGAATCCCCCCTCAGTAATCCCGAGGCTTAGAGGAGAGCACTAACAGGAATGGCACTCATCCGCAGGGCAGAGCGCGACCGAAGGTGCCCACGGCTCCCTCTTGCTTTGCTGCCATCCCATCAATAACGAACAGCCAACGACAGACAGAGAGGTAGCGGCTGCCACGACGAGCAGACCCAGCACGGCGCAGCCCGCCCGGACAGCTCCCGCGGCCTCACGGAGGTGGAGCCGGCCGCGAGTCCCACCTTCGGCCCCGGCCACCGCCTCCCTGCCAAACCCGCTCCATCCGGCGGGCGGCAGCCGCGAGCCGCGGGCCGGGCGCGGCCACGGGCGCAGTCCCGCCGCCGGCACAGCGCTGCGCGGCGCTCGGGCCCTGCCCCAGTGCTCGGCCGCGGCGCGTGTGTGGGGGTTACCTGCTGCCTGGCGTTCCAAGCCGAGCAGACGTCTTTAGGTCGCTTCAGGCTGAGCCGGTCAGAGCCTCCTTCCCTGAAGATATTCAAGACCCTGTAGGGAGCCTGCTTTAGCGCGGGGCTGGATTCGATGATCTCCAGAGGTCCCGTTCTAACCCCTGTGATTCTGTGACTTATACTGAAAGAGAGTCAGTAACTCTCCCGGCACAATCATAATTATATAGAGCCTCTCGTATGCAGTTTAAAAGAGTGTGCAAAGCTTTCCAAACCCTCTGGATACTTTTTTTTTCCCTCTCCCTGACTAGAGTTTTGTCTAGGGAAATGCTGCAGGTGGAATCCCCACCTCTGTGGAAGCCTTCCCTGTGATTCCAGGCTCCGGGAAATCCTTCACGAAGCTCAGGACAGGCTCAGAACCTGCCGGGCATTTTGGCAGTCCTGTGTTCGTTTCCTCCATCAGAAAAAAAAATCCCCAAATTCTCCTCTCTGTTCTTTGCACTGATCAGTTGGGGAAATTCTTGAAAATCTTCGAGGCATTTCTTTACCTAAGTTACACCCAGGAAAGGGTTGTTTCTACATGATGATACCTGGTAACTGCTTTGCACGCACCACACCTCAGTGGGGTTTCTTTTAAAACCAACTCTCCAACCCAGGTTTTTCCTCATCAAATCACCCTTGGTGAGAAACGCCAGGTACTAATTCTCACGTTTTAAAATCACACCATTTT